AGCTGTAAACAGCAGTAAGTGGGTTATCTTTGAGGAGGTAAAAGTCACAACTGGGTCATTCATCAGTCTGAGAGTTACAGATCTGGTCTCTTTATTTCACATTTCACACTGTCTACGACGTCTCATCTGCTTCACGTGCGACTGGACAGCTTCTTTAAAATGTTCATTCCTGAGCCCTGACTCTTCCACGAACTTTACATTAACAAACAAAAACAAGGAGCTAAAAGAGGCTGAAAAGCTGCTTGGAGTTGCAGAGACGTATCCGTGGGTTCAGGGCTGTTAGGGACACTTTATCAGCACAGAGTCAATTCAGTGTTGATATAAGAATATTGATTATAGTCGCTTTAAAGGATCTAGTCATATTTTATTTTTTTATTTTTGTCAACAAAACCCAAACACACACAAGTATACAGTCCCAACCAAAACACAGCAAATTACTGTGGCAAACACTTAACTTTATCTGCACTAAGGCTGGAATGATTAGTCGATTAATCGATTAGTTGATTAACAAAAAAATAATCAGCAGTAAAAACTATATTTCCTGGTTCCAGCATCTCAAATTACAGGATTTGGTTCTGCTTGACTGTAAACTGAAAATTTTCAGGTTTCTGGTCAAATAAAACAAATAAACTGAACACATCAGCTTCAGCTGTGGGAAATTAAAAATTAATCAGCAGATTGATCAGCAGAAAAATTCTTAGTTGCAGCTCTGATCTTCACACTGTTCAATCTCATACAATTTTATTGTTAAATTCAGGGGTTTACCAGATATTTCCCCTCAGCATGTGAACGCAGCATAACAGTCAAGTAAATCCCCTGAAAACACAGAGAGAACAGAGCTCTGCAGTTTTTCCTCCCCCTCACCACAGTCAGCAGCTCCTTCCTCTAAACTGACTCCAGACCTGTAACTTGGCTTTAAATCTGGATCTTCACACTGAAAACCCAGAAACCAAACTGACTACGTCACGACGCTGTAAACACCAGGCAGCGAGGCGAACCAGAGGATATTTTTGGCTCAGGGTTTCTTGAAACATTTCTCAGCTACAGTAGAGTTTACCTGAACCCTGTGACATCTGACCTTTAACCTGCACACTACAGGTCAGCTGTAATGTTAATTACAGAATCTGGAAAACACTTTACAGCAATAGAAAGTGACTAATTGGCCTCTGAGAAAAAGAAAGAAAGAAAGAAAGAAAGAAAGAAAGAAAGAAAGAAAGAAAGAAAGAAAGAAAGCTTCCCTGAACAATGAAAACCGTTCAGAATGTGCCTTTAAATATACTCTTCAGCTACTTGTTACCAGCTAATGTGAGAGGTAGCTAACGTTAGCTCTTTAGCATTAAAATGTAGTTACCATCCAAAGTCCCTGGTTTGTGGACCATAGATTATTTGTTTTGAACTGGTAAAAAATATTTTGCACTTAATACATGCACAAAAATTCACATTAGCTTGTTAGCTAATAGTTTACAATAGCTATTATGGTTTTCCCCAAATTGTCCCTTTAACTGACTCCTTTGTGACTGTTGGCTTCCAGGCTAACGTGTCAGCTAGATAATAGTCTCTAGTAAAGAAATCTTAGCTCATTATCAACAAAAAAATTAAGATTAAGTTTAATTTATATAGTTTTAAAAGCCAGAATAATTTGAGATCAGAGGGGCGTACCAAAATTCACATTAACTTTACAGCTACAGTTAGCATAACTTGCTTGGCAGCCCATCCAGCACCTGAAAATATTTGTGATTATTGTGGCTGAAAATAAGATTTGCAGAAGATTCTCTCACTTTTTTTGTTTTGGTGGAGCTATGCTAACCCTGCTTTCAGCCTTTGTGCTAACCAATCATAAATACTGTACCTGTCTCTGAAAAGAGATAAAACTGATATCCATCTGAAACATCAGACTAATAAAAAGTAAATTAGCTAAAATGACAATTTTTAAAATATGTTCCTGTCACATGGTTGGCTTTTAGCTATTGCAAGCTAACATGTCAGCTTCATATCATTAGCTTTAACAAATGTTAGCCCAAAATTAACAACTGACGTCTTTGGTTTCGGAATTGGAAATTTAATTTCAACATCTTTAAACAACCAAAATATAATTTGAACATAATGAGCTAAATTTAATGTTAGCTTTGGGAGCAAATGTTACTACAACTTGATGGTAATGACAATCATACTTAGCAGCAGGTCTTATGATAAATCAGGCTATAAATTACTGATTTTCAGAAGATTTATTTTACTAAATTTCATATTTGTCAGAGCTACAGGAAGCTAACTCTGATTCCAGTGTTTGCTCTTAGCTAAGCTAACCACGTCCTGGCTCTGTCTCTGTTCTGGACCCAGAGGTGAAACTTCTTATCTGACACGGTTTGAGTTGATGTGCAGAAGAAACTCTGATCATCTAAAAAATCCCCAAATTACCAAATCCAAATTACCACTTCAAAGACGTTGAGTCTAAATCCAGTCTGAACCCTGACCCTGAGGCGAACCAGGCTTCAACACAACACCGGTGTAACACTGGTCTAACGCCAAAAGACAAAAGACAAACCAGCACGCTTTAAATAAAAAAAGATCCAAACCTGGTAGTTAATTCAACTTAAACTTGTGATTTAAGGTACTTGAGTTGTAGTATCATCACTGCTGCTTACATGTCGAGTTGATCAGCAGAAGATTAATCAGCAGCTATTTTGGTAATTGATTAACAGTTTTAGTTGTGTTTTCAAGGAAAAATATTAATGACTTAATTGTGAAAATGACAGTTAGTTTCAGCTCTAAGTATATGGCCAAAAGTATGTGGACACGGCTTGTCCTCTACTTGAAAAACTCCTGAACACGCCTCAGTTTCTGCACAGATACTCAGTCACATAAACTCAGTCATTTAAAATGTCTGAATTCACCATGTAATTTTGTGTGAATGTTCAGTCATAGAGAAAACCCCTCAGTGAGGTGGTTAGACCCAGAGTGTCAATGAGCTCTGACTTAATCTGACATCTGAACATGAAACATTTCAACAGGTTTTAAGGTGAATTCAGTTGATCTGAGTGTCTGAACAGAGGTTTTCCTGTATGTAGATCCAGTCTGTGAGGAGGTTTAAGAGAAAAAGAAGCAGCAGACTCACCAGAGACGACCAGACAGCAGCGAACACAGCGACTGAGAGGCTGAAAACTGCAGACTGAGATCATTAACCAGCTCTGACTCTCTGTTAATGTCTCTCTCCCTCTCTCCCTCTCTCTGAGGTGTGGCTCCAACCAGGAAACCCATCCTCCCCTTTTCTCTAAAGGACCTTGCTTGTTCTCTTGCCCTCCTTCTCTGGTTCCTCAATCCAACAGCTCCTCCTGCTGACTGAGACGACTCTTTTTCATCAGAGCAGAATCACACTAAGATCCTTTACTCAAGTTAAAGTACCAGGACAACAACCTAACAGGACTCTGTGGCAGGTACAAGTCCTGCTCCAGTGAAGGTGCAAAAAACTCCTCTCCTGGAGCTGCTCCAGATGGAGCTGCTTTAACTATACGTCATTCACACTTAGATAGTTTAGTCCACTAGTTCCCTGCAATGTGCTTTGTAAACTTCTTATATTTTCTTTAAGCAAAATTCTAAGTTAAAAGTAAACCATAAATGCAGCACTTAAGTAAATGTGAGTTTCATTCTCACTCTGACAAACTGTACAGAGAGCTGATTCATCCATCAGTTAAGCCTATATCATCTGCATTTTACTTTGTGTTTGAAATCAGTCATCAAACAGCGCCCCTCTGACTGAAAACATGCACTGCATCTGTAAAAAGAATATATATATTACATAAATCTTTAAATCCGTGATTTTAAATGAGATTTTCTGTTTTAATTTTCATTATGATGTATTATTATTATTATTTATTTGTAAGTATTTTGATTACTGATTTGTTTCTGGATAACAATAAGATAACATTGATCTTTGGATGAACTGAATCCTGTAGAACAGAAACAGATCCAATTTATATTTTATGATGAGTATTTTATTATCAAACAGATTAATTCGTCCATCACCTTTTGACTCTGTTGAAAACACATCAATATTACAGAGCCATACTCACCATAACGGTTCAGAAGTGTGTGTGTGTGTGTGTGTGTGTGTGTGTGTGTGTGTGTGTGTGTGTGTGTGTGTGTGTGTGTGTGTGTGTGTGTCATGTTAGCCGGTACCGTCAGGTTTCCAGAGTGAGCAGGAGCACACCGGAAATCACAATTTCAAAATAAAAGGTATACGTTTGTTGTGTAAAAAAACCCCTGTATGTGGGTCAAGCAGACAGGAAGTTTCTATTTATTATTTATATTGTTTTACAGTAGACAGTGATCAGCTTGGACCTTGATAAATGGCAAATAACTATTCCTGCTAATATTAAAATGAAATCATAAAAAATTGAACCATATGCCTACTTAAAAATCATATATAATATTATACATGGTGTCAAAAAAATACAGCAAAAAGTAAACATTATTGTGTCTAATTAAAGCACTGAAATGAAATTAATTAATTAATTTCTCAGACTACTGCCTTAAATGTGACATATTTTCATTAGTCCTGACATGTAGAATAAGAATATCTTATATGACATAATTTTTATATAACCGTAATATTTTTCTTTTGTTGCTGTTTTGAATTGAGTTGCTCTTTTACCGTTCTTATTTTCTACTTTATTCACATTATTGTATTTCTACTTTAATTATTTCTTTAGTTTTCTGTATCAGTAAAGATTTATAAAGTTTTTAAAGTATTACTGTAAGTTCCCTTTTTGCTCTGATGTTCATAAACTACTTCAATAACCGTCTTTCAAATCTATCCAGGACACCTAGAGATAAAATTACGACTACGGTCGTGTTTATCAATGTACGCTGACAAATAAACCAACAAATAAAATCAAAATAAATAGTAGTAAAAACATTGCTATAGTTCCTTTTAGTTTGAAATGCCTAACAGGAAGCGTTGGTGTGTATTCAGGTAATTTGACGCAGCCGCAGAGCTCATTTAACCTGCAGCAGCAGAGAGGCGGCACCTGATCCGTCTGCGACCAGAACCCGGAGAACAAAGACAGAACCACGAAGGACACACAAACAGGTAAAAACCCGCTTCATTGACACCTGACGTTTTCCCTTTAACGGTGAGACCGTGTCTATTGTGTCGGTACCAGTCGGTGATGGAGAATCCCGCTGCGTATTAAAAACCTTTTTAAAAATGGTGTTCAACAAAAATACATGAAAAATTACCAACGTTTGTGATAAATTGATGAAAGAAATGTGAGAAATCCATCGTGTAAACGTGGGTTTATCCGGTGGATTTATCTGGTGCAAGCAAGGGTGTCTGAGGAGCCTGAACACTGGGACAACGCCTCAAACACAACCTGATCAATGTGCGGATTCATCCTTTAATTACAGTCTTAATCAATAACCGGCCTCGCGTGAAGACAAACATAAAAAGGGACGCGTTTTAACCGAGATTTTGCTGTCGCGTGTGGTCGTCATCAGATCTGAGACTCGGGCCAACGCCTCAGGATCAATAGCTCCGAATAAGGCAGCCGAAAATAAAATGGATGAAAATGCGAATGTAGTTCGGTGGCAGGTGAAGTGTTCAGTGTGAAACTGCTGAGTCAGTGAAGTGTCGAGGTTTATTTCAGTCTGTTGAGGCGCGGTGACCCAGATTCTGTTTTAGACTCACAGTAAAATCAGCATCTGACACAATAAATAAATCTGGTGTGAGTCAGGACCCGGGCAGGTCCAACATCATGAGCTCTGGTTTAGCCTAAATATCAGCACGATCTTCTCTTCAAATCCAGTTAGAAATATCAATTAACATAAAATTTAAATATTGACAGTAATAACATATGACAGCTGTAGCCTCACTGACGGTCACTTATCAAACTGTCATTTTTCATGAAAACGTCATATAATGTACAACAATAAAACATTCAGTAAAAGAAAAAATATCTAGTCAATAATAATAATAATAATCAGTACAGAGGCCAACATCTGTCTGCAGCTGGTATAGCTCCAATAATTTATCCAAACCAGATGCAGATTTCTACAAATAGGTAAACAAGTAAACATGTAAATATCCAAGTGTCACTTGACTGGGTGTCACCTGATCTTTGCTGCTGTAGAGAAGCACCACTTCAACACAGTAAGAAGAACAAGGAGTGGAGAAGGCTCCTGCACTCACTGACAGGCTCTCAGGTGTCTGTCAGTCATAATAATCGCCTGTCAGTGACAGCCAATCAGATTGGAGTGTTTCTGAGCCCCTCTGTCTCTGAGGTGGCTTTGAGAGAACGCTATTGGGCAGGTGTTTTTTGTTCGAGTCAAACATTTCAGAGGTTGAGAAGCTGAGTCTGGATCCACTTGAGCTTCTTAAAACACCGATGGGACGAAGTGATGAAGACTACAATCTGTGAGGAGTGAAGAACAGGAGCAACACAATGAACCTGCACACCCGCATGCTTCATCATCCTCATCTCATGGTGGAGAAAACAGCTAACACTGACACAGCCAGAAGTCGGCCTACGATGAATACAGTGTTTACATGTTTCTATTTAAAAAATACTGATACATTGATAACTTATCACAAGAGGAGATAATACAATATATTCCCCTGTCGATATGTTTTCTCACCCCTGCTCTCTATAACTGACTGACTGTCTGTTGTTTCAGATGAATGAGAATCTGTCATCTTAAGGTTCAACAGTCAGAATGATTGACTGTCAGACTGATCAGACATTAATCAGCTGGTCATTTAAAGGTCCCCACCATCCAGCCTTGCAGGATTTCTCTGAGTCTTTACCTGAAATCTGCTATATTTTTATTTGATCACTCAGAAAACAGTCAGCCAATCAGAAGAGAGGCTCAGAGCCTCCTCTCTTCTGATTGGCTCAGCGACATGCTGTTACTAGAGCTCGAGCGAGACGCCTGAGAGGAGATGAAAAACTGCATTGAGATGGTTTTTGGGTTTTTAAACCACAAATATTTCTTCTTATGGATCAACACTTCAAATAAAACACAAGAAGTGTAAAATATGGGACTTTAATCAGTCTGGGTGAAGCTGAGTACAGACCTGCTCTCAGAGGGCAGCAGGGTTCAGGGTCACTCTGATGGGTGATTCATGGTTAATTCATGAAAACAGAATCGGTGGTCTGCTCCTTTACGCTGAGCTGTAAACAGCTGAGAGGCCTTCAGGGCCCGTTGGAGCCCACAGCGCTATAAAAGGCTGAGTCAGAAGTGGAAAAGCTCAGCTGTGAATAGGTTTCTCTACATGGACATGACTCAGTCAGACTGATGGGAGCTTTTAATTTAACTCTGCTGACAGATAACTTATTCTGATCTGAGATCAGATGGAGACTTGTCCCTTTGTGTCAGATGTTTTATGACAGAATAAAAAACAAACTGATCCTGGAGCAGATCATCTGTGAGGTTTAAAATCAATGGATCTGACTGGAATCAGGTTACATCATTTTTTTTTCTTTTTCAGAAACACGTTCAATTAAGTCAGATCATTTATATGTGAATTTTCCATCTTCACTGTAAATGTTACCGTTAAATGTTACAGGAGGTCACTGAGATCAACCTGTGTAAAGTTTATCATTTTTGTAAAACACTGTCAAACAAAAAAAGCTGTATGACAATAAAAAGATTTCTGACAGGTTTCCTCCGTGTAGTCCTGCTCTGCTTGTTCACTGTAAACTGCTCTGACCTGTAAACAGTCTGTTGAAGCAGCAGACACTAAAAATAAAACTAAAACAAGCTTTAAAATAAACTGAAGTGGCTTCCGTTTTGTGCAGAGACTCAGTGACTTCACACTGAGACTGAAGGTTAAAGTTGGTCAGACGCGGACTTCAGCTGCACTCAGGCCAGTGATTGTAAAAAGAACCAGAGGGTTACATGGTTCAATGGTGCAGCAGGGAGTTCAGAAATATATAAATATAAAAGTGTAGATATCACCCATCTACATGCTGAGGCCCCTCAGTTCACCTGCAGGGCAAAGACAACCTGGGGCCCCGTGTTCAGATAAACTACCTGAAGGACCCAGGAAAAAAAACTTTTCATTATACTTGTCTTCATCCACTATACAGAAACCATGAGACCAGGACTGTGGAGCTGAAATGTTGATTAATTGATAAAACTGACAGTGAACTCAACATTAGTGATTATTAACTGTTGACATTTGACTCATGTTCACTCTACGAGACCAGGGCCTCACCATGGAGGGTGCAGTTCTTCACTTTGAACTCTGCATCTATAAGAAACTCTGTGACAAAACGAAAAATGGGTCAGGTGGTGGATTGTTTACCTTTTTGTATTGTTGGATTACCCCCAAACCTCCTGTGAATATCTGTTTTTATTTCAGAGTGAAAGATGATGGAGAAGTCAAACAGCCAATACGACTCCTTCCTCTTCTGGAGGCAGCCAATCCCGGCCCTCGACCTGTCCGAGCTGGAGGACCTGGGTTTGATTGACGGTCCGGCCAATGGCAACAGAGGAAAAGACAAGATGTGCAAACTTAGGAGTCAGGATGAGGAGGTGAGAGGATAAGATGTTTTCCAGTTTGACATAATGAGCTTTAATACAGGTGAGAAGCTGACTGAAAATCTATCTGTTCTCAGGTCAGTTTGGGTAATTGTGTTCAATCAGTGATTATTTTAACCAGGTAGTCAGCTGCACCTGCATCAGATTTGTACTATCTGCCTTCATTACCAAAAATTTTGGACATGTGTGTTTTTGTTTTCACACTGTGATCTTCAGCTGCAGGATAATGATCAATGACAGCAGCAGATGAAGATTTTTATTGTTAGAATTAAATTCATATTAAAATTAGTCAGTGTCACTAAAACAACACTTTACTCTTCTGCCAACAGGTGGAGCTATGACCCACCCCTCACCTGTAATTCTGCTGCATGCACAAGTTTTCTCCAGATCAGGTGTTGATACTTGGTGGAGTTTTGGTCTGATGTGAACTGTGTCTCTCTGCAGGTTGAGCTGTCTGAGTTCTCCTCCTTTAATTACTGGAGAGCTCCCATCGCTGACGTGGACACTCTGCTGGCCGACCTCAACCTGCTGCTCTGAGACCAGCCTCACCTGACCTCTGACCCTGGATCAGTCTCTGCAGGCCTTGCCTCATCTCATCCTGCCCAATGCTTTACCCGGGAAACATTTAAGGAACATATTTCTTTTTCAGGAAAGTCACCAAAATAAGAGTCTGGTTTTCACATTAACAGTCCCACAGGACCGAGGTCTACAGAGACTGGTCCTGGTTCAGATTAGACTCCCTGAGCTTTGTGTTCACTCACTGATCCTGAACTAGTTTTCCTAAAAACACAAAGACCGACTCATCTGTGTGAACATTGTGAATTAAATCAGAAGGCTGTAATCTGAGAGGATGTGTTTCATGATCAGCTGTTAAACCAGGTCTGCATGTCAGCTGATCTCCGTCTGATTTTAATCTGACTGTCTTTAAACTTGAATGAGAAACCAGATTCTTATCCCACTGAGAATTTGAACTAAACACTTTCCAGTTTGCCCCTGTCTGTTTGTAAACTAAGTGGACAAAATATTAGAAACACTACATCGTTGTGTTGTTCAGAGGTGTGTTAAATTCACCAAAGAAAATCTGGAGATTCATCATGTGATTATAAGAAGAGACAGAAAACTGAGAGATGAGGGAACTATCTCATTATTATGAGATCATATAAATGAGGGTCATTATGTTGAAGTTTTCTTTAGTATCAGTGATGTTGACTGGACGAACACGGCTGCACCACATACAGGAGCTGATACTTAGACTCAATTTTGATAAATGTGAACAAATACAGGCTAAAGAAAGGTTCTCAGGATTGTTTAGGATGTGTTAGTGGTCAATAGGAAGGTTCTAGAGGTCCTTTAGGATGTTCTATGGGCTGTTTAAGTGGTCACTGAAGAGGTTCTACAGATGGTTTTCATTATGGAGGTTTTAGTAGTCCTACAGGAGGTTTTCTAGTTGGCCTTTAGTTTAGGGTCCTCTAGGAAGTTAAACACCTATGGGAAATTTTGTGGTGATGTGTTAGACTACCAAATGAAGGAATGTCCTGTGGAAGAACCCTGTTCATCCTCCTGTAGAGTTGAACACACCTGAAGAATTAATGATGAGGAGCAGTTAAGATGTTCTGGTAGAACGTCACATGACTAACTTTCTGTTCCTTTAATCTTTCCCCAGCTGTAAAAACAAACAAACCCCTGTCCTGTTATTAATAAAACCAGTTATCAGAGACATTAATGTCTCAAACCAGAGGAAATAAAAGCCAATTAAATCAGACAGATCCATGATGCCTGATGATTGATAACCACTAACCTTTGCTCATAATTATCAGATCAGGTCTCCAACAAAGTTTTTCTTGTGAATATAATGCACCTCCTGGAATTCATCCAGCTTTCATCAGCTGATTTAAGTTTAAACAGAAATGTCCTTTTGTGTCACATGAATGAATATGATTTATTTATTAGACCAGTTAGAATCATTGATGTGTTGAGACAGAGGTTTTTATCATCTGTGCCTTTTTTTCTTTTACCCTGAGCTGCTTTGTTATCCTGTTTTATTGATGTATTTATTTCTCATGCTGCTGTTTTATTGTTTCACTATGAGCAGGCCTCAAACTGGAGCCACAAATCAGAAGAACTCTGTGGATCATCATGTCCTGTCAGAAATGTTCTGTACACCCAGTCAACAATAAAATGTCCTTTTTTGATCAAAATACTTGTTTTAAAAAAAAAACAAAAAAAACAACAGTTTGACCACTGAGGTTTGGAATCTTCCAGCAGAAAGTGCTAATTAATTTACGCTTTATTTTCCCTGTGATTAAATCTTAATTACACATTCCTACCCAGGAAACTTGAAAAATATTATGAAATTACAGAGCCTAAATTAACCCAAGTTTAGTTTCTTAGAAAAAAGGCAGGTAAAAAGGACAGTAGATTAAAAAAAAACAACGTTGTGTATAAATACACCATTCAGCATAATAAAGAAGTTTTTGATTGTTTTGTTTATTGTTATACAAAATACAGAGCAAATTAACAAATTGTAAAATGTGATTTTATCTTTACAATCTTGAGTGAGTTACATTATCACAGAGCAAAGACTGAAAAATCCATTTACAACTGTTCATTTTAACCATAAAAACATGAAGAAAAAAATATAATACAATTCAAATTAAATTAATTAGAACACTATAAGTGCTTTTTATCATGTTTAATTAGAAACACATTCTGCTGTTGAGCTTGAGATGTTTCTTACTTTTTATCCTCCAATTTAACACTGAATATTTTTTTATTTAAAGTATTCTACATTTATCCATTTGGAAAGTAGCAACCACATTGTATTGACTCATACAGCAGTTACATATGTTCACTATGGGTAAAATCCTCTATAACACTATTTCTACAGTGACTTATTGTGCTATAGAATGTTTTCTGTAAAATTTATTCAAATATTGTAAATGGATTAAATAACCAAACATGATATGTGTTTTTGATCAGTCCAGTAAACTGAACAATAAAGGTGCTTCATTACATTTATACAAAAAATATAAATCCAAGAGCAGTCTTACACACTGCAATCAATACATATAATCAATAATCAAGATTATTAGTATATAATGTTTCTACATCGGATTCACAGAAATGGCAGATATTTAATTCAAAGTTAAATATATGAAGCAAGGCAGGTTTCTGCTCAATATACAGCACACAGTTCGTGTTTACATTCATACTATAGATTTAGTTGAAACATAGTTTAGTTTAACCATAGATTTAACTACAGGTTAAGGAGACTTTATTGGCTATTTCATTAATAATTCGAGGGTAATTCGGCTGTTTGACACATTTACAGTGTTTTGCTGAACCTGATGTCTGAGCTTTGCGGGCAGGAATGCGTTGCTCTCCGGCTGATATGAGGTCAGCGGTCTGTCCTATAATGACTCAATCTGACGGCGGCTCAGCCGTTCGAACCGACCTGAGGTCAGTTCCTCGGCGCTCTCACAGAGCCCGCCCACAGGGGGGTTAACGCTCACTCTGGCTTCCACCTCCGGTGTCGCGGAGCCGCCATATTTGTAACAGATAAAACACAAAAATATCTGTTTTTAAACTTCTCACTGGCAGGTGAACACCTGTCAGAATCTGATTTACGTCAGGAGTCGTAAAGTCGCGGGAATCTACGAGAGAAGAAGGTAAAACTCGCTTTAGTTTAACTTGCTAACAGTCTGCATGCACACAGGCTAACGGCTAACATGATTAGCTGCTAAATAGTAGCGTCAATAACATGTAATGACGACCACGCTTCCTGTCGGAACTATCACTATAAAATACCAACTGACAAACTATCTTCGGGCTGTGTGTTCACATGTACACTGCTTATCAGAGGAAACGCCCAAGCCTTTTGATATCATATGCAAAATTATCAGGGCAATGATAAAATAATACTCCACTGGGCAATGCAGTAATTTCAATTAAATTCTATAAGCATTACTCACAAACTGTTTTATCATAAATAAAACGCCTGGCGCTCTTATTTTGAAGGGTACACCCGTAACATCCGGGCGGGTACTGGCCGCCTCTCGGTAACTTTCCGCAGTAAACAAGTCCGGAGGACCCCGACAAGCTGCAGCGGTGCCTAATGCCCACGATTTGCGCCTTGTGAATGAAAGTGTGCACATTACTGAGCTGTTTCTACTCACCGCAGTGATTCTAGTGCGCACAAACCTCCACACACCGGGCGGTTTGTTTGGCTAGCCGGCTAGCGTGCTAACATTAGCAGAGAGGAGCGCTAGCTGGCTCCTTACAAACCTGGACACGGTGAGTATCTGGCCCGCTGTTCTCCCGGAGAGTAAAACGATATTTTTCTAAGCCTTCACACGTTAAGCACTGACAGAAATAACCAGAAGTAACGGAGGAGTGTGACCATACAGGTCTCCGGTAAGCCGTTTGACGGTTCGCGCTGAAGAAAGCTAGTTAACCGGATGTGGAAGTAGTTTTTTCTCCGTGTGTAAAATAGGAAATTTCTCTCTGACTTCCCCCGGAAAACCAACAACTTAATATCAAACGGTTTCCTGTCGGTGTTACTGTAAATGTTTAGGCGGAGGAGGTTACGGTGTTTAACGGTGGCGGTGGAAAATAACAGCCCGGAGAGGGGACACGGGGGTACGTGGCACATGGCGGACTCTTTTCTGTTCATGAAGGCGCGTAAAATGGCTCCTCGGCCGCGGGGAGAAAATCCTCGTCCTTCTCCCCTGTTTCGCAATCACAAGCGCTCTTTAACAGCAGGGTTCCATTGTCGGACACAGTGTCGTGCTAACTTGCATAGCTTTGCCCACTCCCCGATAAAAGAAAACCATTGTTTCCAGTAGAAACACCGACAGCCCACTCATACCAGTGCTACATGTTTAAAATCAGTCCCCATTTGTTTATTGATAAGGTTATTGTTTGTTTAGTTTTGTTTTATGGATGCTAATGATGTTAGCGCCCAAAACAATCCGCAAGTTTGAATCCATTGTCGGACACCTTGAAGTCATTGTTTTGGCACTTCGAGGCGTGTTAGTCATATGTTGTGCAGCTTCACTGCTGCAGCTTTAAAACATGTACAAACTTCAATACCCTTTAATTAAAGTAAAGAAAAATAAGATGCAGGCTGCAACTAACGATTCTTTTCTTAATTGAGTAATCTGTGGGTTACCTTTTCGATTAATGGTTTTGTCTCCAAATGACAGCGAACAGAGAAATTAATTTTGTAATGTCACATAGACCAACATAAAGCCTTTAGTCGTTTTGTTTTGTCCTAAATACAGCTTACTGTCAAGTACCAAAAAGAAAAGCATCAAATTTCTATCAATTTTCTGTCAAACCATCTATTAGTTGATCAATTAATAAACAAATCGTTCCAATAAACTAAGATGCAGATGGATGGGGACATGTCCGATATTTATTGATATATCCTAACAGGAAATATGGAAACTGTTTTTAATGGAAACCTTTACTTTGGTTACTAGACGCTTTTATTTTGTGAGTGTAACTGTTATATTTGTACTCTTGGTGCATCTTATTTCATTACTGATTAATCCTGACATGTTTTCTCCATTAACCAATAGGGTACAAAATAACTACATTCTTTCTACTACTTTCTTTCACTACATGTACACTTGTGTATTTTCACAGAGACACTGTTTATTGAATATTGCCACTGCAAATGTGTTGAAATAGCTATTGTTTGACTTTAAATGTTTGTTTGTGTAGAATAAATTGTACTGTAAACAGATTGTGTGTAGTAAGGTGCAGTCAACAACATAAATTTCGGTTTATTATAAAAACTCTGTAAAGATTTGAGACAGCGGATGCTCATATGTTGGAGATATAACGTGACCGAGCCTTCACACCTCTGTTTCTCTGTGCATTAGATGTCGTTGGTGGACCTGGGGAAGCGACTGCTGGAGGCGGCTCGTAAAGGTCAGGATGATGAGGTCAGAAACCTGATGGCCAACGGAGCTCCATTCACCACCGACTGGGTGAGACACCAATTTCACTCTGTTCTTTTGTAGAGCTGGCTTAAAAATCCATTTTATGATTAATCACAATTTTAATTTGAATGATCTTGTATTTATTGTTTTAGTCCAGAGGTTGCCAAGGAAACTAAATCACTGGTCCCTAGTTTTATAGCCAGGAATTGTGTTTACAGTTTAGACAACTTTATATTCAAGGATTAATTCTGAGAAGCTCTTTCCACAATATTGGTTTTTATACAATGAAAGTGAATCATCAAGAATTGAATCAGCAGGTCAGAGCTGACTTCCAGACCTGTTGTTTTCTACTACATGTAGAGCTTCCTGCAGGGGGAACCACAGGGAACAGATCAGTACAGTCACAACATGTGTCCCTCAATAACAGTAAAGATGATATCTGTGTTCTGTAGTTGGGGACGTCCCCCCTCCACCTGGCCGCTCAGCATGGTCATTACTCCACTGCAGACGTCCTGCTGAGAGCCGGCGTCAGCAGAGATGCCCGCACTAAAGTGGACAGGACCCCGCTGCATATGGCCGCCGCCGAGGGACACACAGTCATTGTCGAGCTGCTGGTCCGGGTGAGAAGTACTCAGGATTAATATTCACTTCAATCTTAATTTTTTCAGGTTACAGCTTGTAATCACCTGTTAATAAAAGCCAAACATTTAAAACAAAAACAGTGAAAAATGTTCATTACAGTTTCCTAGAGCCCAAGATGATGTCTTCAAATTAATTTTTTGTCTGGCCTATAGGTCAAAACCTAAAGATAGTCTGTTTACTGTAGAGCAAGACCAGGAGCAGCTAATCCTCACATTTGAGAAGCTACAACCATCAAGTGTTTAGCACATTAGCTTAAAAATTGACTCGACTGATTAACAGTTTTCATTGTTGCATCCGTGTTTTAAAAAACTGTGTGTAATTGCAGAGCGGTGCAGACATCAACGCCAAAGACATGCTGAAGATGACAGCTCTGCACTGGGCAGCTCAGCACGGGCACCATGGCGTGGCTGAGACCCTAATCAAACACGGAGCCGATGTGCACGCACTCAGTAAGTTCGACAAGACGCCGTTCGACATCGCCGTCGACATCCAGAACACCGAGCTGATGCTGCTGTTGCAGGTGAGACACAACGTGCAGACAGCTGAGATGTCACCTCAAACATCTGGGCTGTTAGTGATTGTTATTGTGTCTGTAAAGCAACCTGGGAGGGACAGAGAGGACAAAATTAGTCTTTACTATTCAACATATAAATTATCAAAAATTCACAGTTCATATCCAGTAGTTTTCATTTCTGCTCAAGTGGAGTAAAAAACTGTTCTTCAAAAGCTTATTTGAAAGAAACCGTTATAAAAGCTTGAAAGCTCATTCAGATTTCAGTTTTCACATCAAGTCAGTTTTTCAGTGTTTAAAACATTTAAAACATTAAAGCACATTTAGATGAGTTCATATAGAAATCTCCACCTCAATAAAATGTGTGTGTTTGTTGTTTGTGTGTGTCTGTGTCTGCAGGAGGGCATGCAGAACCAGGTGAACATGAACCAGGTGAACATGAACCAGGTGAGCATGAACGTGGAGACGAGCACCACCACCAACCAGCCTCAGTTCATCATCCAGGGAATACCTGCCATTCAGGGGGGTGTGGTCAACCTGGCCGAGTTGCTCAACAAGGCCAATGCAGGTACGAACACAGACACACAGCGTTTAGCAGCTGTTAAACATATGTGGATATTTGATTTTACGGTTTTAATGTCATGTTTCAGGAGATTCAGAGGAGGCGATGGCGGCCAGTGCTCTGGACTCCAACATCCAGCACGCCGCTGTTGTCAACGAGGGGGGTCAGAGGGTCATCACCATAGTAACAGACCAACACGGCAACCTGCAGACCACTGGAGGGATGGCACAGCCATTCTTTGTTACTATGCAGCACGGACAGCAGAGTATGACAAATAACCTTCATTCAGTTCAACATTTTCTGAGTCAAATCAGTGTTTTGATGCTGAATCTGTTTGTTTGTTTGTTTTCAGTGCTGGCAGTGCCAGCCAACACAGTGACGGAGGAGGTGGTGACGGAGGAGCCTCAGCCTCCACCCTCCAGGAAGAGGAAGCTAGAGGTGACCAACAACCACAACGATGCAGGAGAGACGGTGAGTGGAGTAAAAATATTATTATTATGATTTTAGTAGTATAGTACTATTAGTTGACTATTGGAATACGGGATTCAATATATAATGAACTGATCAAATTCAAAATTTACAATCTACAAGCACAACAGACTGTTTGAAGTAGTTTGCTTTGTGATCCAGCAGAGGGTGCTCAAAAACTTCATCACCAGCTCAATCTATTGACCTATCAGTAAACTATGCTAGTAGTGTTATGTTGTTTGCTATGAAAATGGAGGACACTAGTGAGGAAAGCCATCCTGGGCAGACAATCAGAACACCATAGTATCTGAGTAGCAGACTGTGGAAGTTCTTGAGTTTTACACAGTAGATGCCAAAGTAACTCACAAAGCAGCTGTCTTACACTACAACAAGTGGAGGCTCCACAGACAAGCGGAGCAATGTCGAATGTACATCCTCCTTTGACTGTCAAATAGTCAGATTGAGAGAGATTGATATACAAGGATAATAGCTATAGTACCAGGTGAGGGGTGTAGGGAGGTGGAGCATTCAAATAAATTTCAACGAAATGTCTCATTTCAAATTTATTCAGATTTCATCTTTGGAAAAAGTATCAGCCCTAGTACACTATGAGAAGAGGCAGCAGTGGTGACCAGACATGAAACAATAGAATTGACCCATGATGTGTATCAGGTTATCAGCTCCAAAGTCCAGTGTACAAAGGGTCTGCTGATTATTTTTGTGATTAATTGTTTTGTCTATAAAAAGCCAGAAGTGAAGCATAGTGCAGCTCCAGTGTAAAAGGTTGTGTAATGAACCTGTTGGACTTTGCTGCTTTGACTGTGACATAACCTTCTGCTCCTCGTCCTGCAGGAGTTGTTGCAGAGGCAGCTGCAGGAGGCCAACAGGAAGGCGCAGGAGTACCGACAGCAGCTGCTGCGTAAGGAGCAGGAGGCCGAGGAGTACCGCATTAAACTGGAGGCCATGGCCCAGAGTCAGGCCAACAGCACCAGCACCAACACCGCCGCCATGGCCGCCGCCAACGCTGCAGCCAGCCCAGAGGAGGTGGTGGGAGGAGAGGAGGATGAGGAAGAGGGGGCGGCTGGCGTGGTGGAGGAAGAGGGAGAGATGGTGGTGCTGCAGGATGGAGGCATCATCATGGAAGGGGAGGAGGGTCAGGTGACGCTAGTGGAGACGGGAGGAGAGACAACGGAGGTTAGCTCCTAACAGAGAGGGAGGAGGAGGAGGAGAGGTGAGGAGGGGGTGACACCGACAAAAAGACACGTCATAACAGGAGAGGGTTGGTTTGACTCGCAAGTTTGCATCCCATTTAACAGAGAATGATGGAGGGGGAGGAGCTGTGTCACGGTAGGACGATTTCAAGTGTGCACCATTTTAAATCCCTGAAAGATTTGATACAGCAGAGAAGAGAGACAAAATGGCTTCCCCAAAAACAGTAGGACAAGACAGACAGACTGAAAACAGACTAAACAAACATAATGTTGGATTTCAGTCGTGCACCATTTTGAATCCCTGAAAGATTTGATACTAACACTTCAGTGAGACAAGGTAATGGCTTTACCAAGAAAGACAAAACAGTCGGAGGAGAAAGACGGGCTGACAGTGGCCTAAACACATCGATGGATCTCAGTCATGCACCATTTTGAATCCCATAAAGATTGGATACCAACATGTCAGAGAGGAGATGCAAAATGACCTCCCCAAAAAGACAAAGTAGTTGGAAGAGAAAGACGGGTTGATAGAGGACAAACCGAACACGACAGTGGAGTTTAGTTGTGTACCAATTTGAATCCTTGAATGGTTGGATACCTACACTTCAGAAAGGGAGACAAAGTGGTTTCTTCAAAATGACAAACAGCATGAACAGAAAGAAAGACTGAAAACATACCAAGCAAACATGATGGAGGAGTTTAGTTACGCACCATTTTCAATCCTTGAAAGATTTGATAACGATATGTCAGAGGGGAGAAGCAAAATTACTTCAGCAAGAAAACAAAACAGTAGTAAGAAAAAACTGGAGTGAAAACAGACTACACAAACATGATGGTAGACTGCAGTCATACTCCATTTTGGGTTCCCACTAGTTCTTGTAACTGAATGCTTAACTGAAGCAAGATGCAGAATGGCTGCTGCAGATGTCAATGAAGCAGGATGAATGGTATAAATAGATGGAGAGGAATAAGAAAAAGATAAACTCAGGAGAAGGTGGGACCTTCAGTCGAAGGACAATTTATGTTTTTTTTGTTTTTCGTTTTTATCGTAATCAGTGATCCCAAACCAAATCAGACATAATGACATGGGGTGTAGGAAGACAGTACTCCGTGTATGCAGCCCTGTCTGTTTCCTTAACATTGCTTTATCGCTCCATTTTGCTTCTCCATCGGACTCGGAGCAAAGGCAGGATGACTAAAACTGAAGGCAGCTGGTTTGTCTAAAACAAGTGATATACATTCAGGAGGAATTTAGAGTTTTAGTTTATTTCAACAGAGTTTTGGACACAAATGGTTATCCCAACTAGAGCCATTTCTATCTCTTTTATTCAGTTTTACTGGGTAAATCGCTGAACCAAGATAGCTGTTTGTCTGATGCCTTCATAACTCTAAGTCTTGATAAATTGGGACCATGCTGCCCGTTTTGAAATCCAGTTCCTCAACCCTTGCTGTAGCTTGCACCATTTTGCTTCCTCAGAAGAGTACAGACAACGACTGAGAGCTGTGAAAGCAAAGAAAAAGCCTTTTCTGTTGTTTCTGGACACTAAAATAACTCACTCTGAACTGTTTCCCTGCTTTTTGTTATTTTTTGGCGTATAGTTTTTGTTTTTGGACGTTAGTTTTCAGATGTGACTTCATCATGTATCAGGATGTGACAAACTCATGATTTTCTTTTGGAGCGCCAGACAAGATTTCCCATTTGCTTCCTGTTTAATCCCATATTAAGTGGTGAAGCCAAATGGTGACAGTGGAGCAGTTTTCAAAGGGAAAGATTTTTGGGACACAGCGCTCTGTCTCATGTCCGTTGTGTTTCCAGTTACTCCTCAACAAGCCAACTAATGTGTGAATATAGAAAAACTCATCTCTGGCTTTGAGTTTGATAGAGTCCAGGTTTCTGACCTGAACTGAACAGATCCATCATGGAAACCTTTAAGTCATTCAGTAATTATGATGTTTATTCTTTAAAACCAACTTTGTTTTCCATCATTAACTCATCAGTGTCTAACAGGGCTGACAGGAGCAAACTCATATAGAACTGAAATTCTCAATCATTCTTTACTATTGATTAGTCCACCAATTAGTCTAGAAAATGGTGAAAACCTCAAATCACTTTCTTACAATTGAAGGTCTTCAGATATTTGGCCAACAGTTCAAAACCCAAAAATATAAAAATAATAATAATAATAATGATATCATAGAAGGAGAAAAATCTAAATGTTCACATTTGAGATGGTGTAAAATGTGAATGTTTATGTTTTTGTTTACAAACAATTGTTCAGTGATTAATGTTGTGTCAATAGACTGATTAGTTGGTTTCAGCTGCACTCAGTTCAAGACTTCACTGTTTAATTACCAACTCTTTCAATGGATACCTATTAATAATCAGCAGATGTGTTACCATGACTCTTAAATTCATGTGTGCTGATACAAAAAAAACATTTTCCTCTGCATAGGTGATTTTTATCTTGCAGGACCTCATCTGGTTTTTAAATTGGACTCTGGATGTTTTTAGCTCTTTAACTACATGTTGTGTGTATTTTATGTCCTGTTGAACATTTCACACACCGATTCTTCTGATTTCTTTTCTCCTTCTGTGCAGCTTTCAGTTTCTATGAGCAGATCAAATTATCACAGTAAACATTGGTCATCTTTATTTTTTGGTAAAGTTGTGTTGGAGAAATACAGTTGAGTGTTTAAAACTGAACCTTGTGCTACGTTTAAGGGCATTGATGATCTTCTTGATTGATTAATTGTTTAGACCACAAAATTTTAGTAATTGTTTAAAAAAAAAAAAAAAAAGTTCAGAATTCCAAGAACCCAAATATATTTAGTTCAACATCATAGACGACAAATAAGACCTGCGAATGTTCATGTTAGAAGCAGGAGCTGAAGCAATTATCTTATTTTTGCTTATAATACTAATAACAATTTTAAAGACATTAAAACCAATGAAAACTTAAAAAAAGATGAATATTCACGTTGGACAGGGTGGAGCCAGTGTATTTTTGAATTTTTGACAATCAAGTATTTGCCGATCAATTCTGTCTTTGATTAATAGACTGATTAATCAACTAATTGTTGCAGTGCTAATGTGGTGATTATCATCTTGATTATTTTGGGAAAAAAAAAATTTTTCAACAAATGATACCAAACTTAAAAATATTCAGTTCACTATAAAATTAGATAAAGAACTCACTGAATCTGGAACATGGGAGTGTTTCATTTATTTCTTTAAAAAGTCACTTAAAGATCAGAAATAATACATTTTTTCTGTCAATGGATGAATCTGCTGTGACATTTCAGTCCAATAGAACCAGTTATAGATTTCACCAAACCAGAAACAGAAGCTTTAAACTGAATCTGAGATGGAGAAAATATTAATAAGGCAAAGTTGAATGTGACAGATTTGAACAAAACATTAGTCTCAACTGTATTTTAACGTCTCAAAATCAGCAAAGTTTGCTTTTGCTTTAAAACATGTAAAACAAAACTGAGGTTGACCAAACACTGACTGTGATTAATTGTATCTCTACAGCAGGTTTTACGTCTGTAGATTTTAGAAATGAGCTGAAATCAGTGGAAGGAAGGAAATCAGTTTAAAAACTAGAGTGAACAAGCAGAAACAGGTTGAAGTCGACACAGTCTGTAGTTGGAGATAAAACATCTAAAACCAAATGTGTGGTCCTTAAAGGAGTTTTTGTTGGCCCAGTTTCTCCTGTCCTGGTTCAGTCCTATTGGGTCCCACGGTGTATAATCAGTTATTGATTATTACCGTCAGCTGATTGTCATGTTGGGTATCTCTTTAGACCACCCTGTATCCTCTCAGATGTCTGTCCTGCCCTTTCTTCCTCTGATCAATGAGTCTGTCATTTTTGAGTTGAGTATGATAGTTATTTTTATAAGCTCAGCGAAGCCAACCTTTTTCTATGTACATATAAAGTTGTATTTTTTTAACTGTACCTGAATGCTTCAACATGATGATGATGATGATGATGATGGCTGCCTGCATTGGTAATCTGAAATATAAACACTTGTTTTTTTGAATAAGATCATCTCTGTTGTGTTTTTGAAGCTTGCTCACAGTGACACGTGAACATTGCCCGAGGCATTCAGGTGACAAACGAACGCCAGCAACCACACCTGAAGTCAATTTATCAGCTTTAAGTCAACAGTAATCGCACTGAAAGGTGTCACTCACTGAATATATCACAGTGCGAAAATGTGTGATGTGTTCAATAGTTTTTAAACAATGAACTGTGGATGTGAATGGATATCAGGCTTTGAAAAGCACATTCAAAAAATGTAATATTTGTGAAATAACACTAGTTCATTTTTCCCTTTTGACACCTGCCTCCCTCAATAGTTTTTTTTTCTTAGAAGTAAAACAGTTTAAAATGGTGTTTTTTTTCACACTTTAACTTCTCATCAGTCACCATGTCTTAGAGTGAAAACTTCATCTTGTCCTTGAAAACAATAAAACTCCACTGCAGAGAGAGGTCGAAAGCTCAAGAGAAGCTACTAAAAGGACCTTGTGGTGAGACTATTTTGCCGACTGCAAAGTAGTTTCTTTGTTTAGAAAATCAACTGGTTACTTCTGACAAAATTAGATTTGTTAATATATTTGCAACATGAGGTGAATCGTCCACTTTTTAAATAAGAGAAAACAAAAAGTGACTCAGATTTTTTATTTTTTCTATCATACTCAAACACAAATGTATAAAAAAAAAATGCAGGCATAATTATAATAAACAAACAATACAAAGACAGTTCATAACCAACAGATTAGTTAAGTGAATTGTGAGAACAGAAAAAACCCATAAATACAGACAGCTGTTTAATAGAGTTTAATCGGTTCATCAATTAAGGGGTTGGTTGATCTATAGAAAAACTAATCAGCAATCATTCTGATAATTGATCAGACTCAGCCACCCTCCAGCTAGGGTGTTAAGGACTTGATGTTTGACCCAGATACAAAGTGAGTCAGTCATTTTCGAGTGTAAAACTCATCTTGTCAGTGCTCTCTGGTGGATCAGCTCTGTAATGGAGACATTTTGTAAATGACCTCAAACCTAGTTTGACTTGTACCAACATTTACTGTTATTGATTGGCCGACATACAGTTTACACACGGACTGATATATCTGTAATAAGCTGATATCTGTGTAACACTTTCTCACACTTTCTCACAGTGGTCAGACATTTAACAGAGCAGAGAAGTAATGGAGTAATTCAATCGACAAAATCTCATTGATAGTAAAAAATAATAATCATCTGCAAATAAAGGCAGTGAGTGGAGAGGAGGTGGAACAAGTGAGCATGATGGTGTTACAGTAGGCCGAGACTCCTGTCAATCAATGAGAAAATGACCCAAACACATCGTTTTTTAGATGTATCAGCCCATTAATGAGACGGCTGTAACGATTATGTTGCTGGTGTTAAACAACTACAGCTCCCATGAGGCTTTGTCAGGCTGCCAGTGGCTTTTGGGATATTCCCGCCCAGTTTGTGGATTATGGCCGATCAGTCCTGATTGACGTGCCAAACATCCAATCAGCGGCAGCGCAGAGACACGCGGCCAACCCTGTGCGGTGGGGGGCGGGGCTGCGGCGGAGGGGGCAGGGCGGGAGGTATCATGGAGGATCAGTAGGCAAACTGTGGCCGTCAGAGGAGAGCAGCCCCCGCTCTGATCCCCGGGACTTTCTCAAGTGTTTACCGACGCTTTTTAATCACCTCGTACGGAAACTTCAACATGGACATGAAGAAAAGGATCACTCTAGAGCTGCGGAGCAGAAACCCGGCGGAGGTGAGCCTCTTTTGTTTTAATAACATTTTAATTGTTGCCTGAAATAGCCCGGGAGGTGATGTGCGACCGGAGCCTGGCTGGCTGCTCCGCCTCGCTCATCACATGGAGTCCTCCACCGATAACACTCTGAACGGAAACTTTGCTGAGGGATATTCGGTCCTTTAAACCTCTTATCGATCAGGTTACAGTTTGATCAACAGCCGCCCGCAGCTCGGTTGAAACACCGATCCGGGATGGATGTGGAAGCATCTCGCGGCTCGGTCCGTCCGCCCCCTCCTCCTCCTCTCCGGTGAAATCCCTTCTCTCCGAGAGGCTCAAATTATATCACCAGAATGAGTTTACTAACATTAAATTCACGGTTCTTATCGCTGGGACATTTAAGACGCCCACACAGATTGGTTATGTTCCGTTCGAGTGTATATGGTTCATCCGAAACACCTTCATGGATAACGACGATGCAAGTTAAACTTTTAATCAGTCACCGGCCGCTCGGAACAACTCAGAGAATTCAACGGAGAATACGACGCACCAATAAAGAGGAACTTGAACTAAACATGCTTATATGTAGTAGGTAACCAGAGTGGGAGTTTTCGGAGCTCATCGCGGGCTTTGGTCCCGGACAAACACTGCGTATCGACCTTAACAACAACGACGTCGGCGGGTACTCGGTTCTCTGCGAGCGGACATTTTAAGTCTCCAACGGCTTAAACTTCGACGGAAATATCGTATAAACCGACATTTTAATAAACCGCGCGTCGTTAGATTGAGTTCAGAACCAATTTTAACGTCTTTTGTGAGGCTTTGGTGGATATTTTTGGTGCGACCCTGCTCAGTGGTGGACGCGGGGCGCACGGAGGTCGGTCACAGACATTTTGAGTGGGGATCTGGAGCTCGGTAGTAACGCGTTACCGACTTACCGTTACAGAAGCGGATTAGCTGTCGAGTCGACGCCGAATTACACAGATGACGATTATTTGTTCAATGACCGTTAAATCGACTCATAATCGCCGCGTTACACCGCGGCTCGTTATTGTAACGCAATGACCTGGTAACGCGGAGGGTTGGTGTTCGTATATCAGTGTCGTAACGACTCAAAATGGCGTTACCGACCCAGGCAGATTACCGCCGTCAGTTTAACCATGCGGAGGAGAAACTGCGTTTGTGGATGTGTAAAATGGACGTAACTGATCCACATCTGATGTCGCTTTATTTACACATCGACCTCCACATGACGGAGCCCGCTCCGCTGTGGTCGCTATTAAACCATCCACATTCATTCATACACGGTGTGAACGCAGTAACATGCCGGGTTTGATCGGCGTTATTCGGATTCTTTCGTCCCTTCTTATAAGGCAGAGCTCTACGGTGTATGTGTGTGATCGAGTTATATAACCGGACTGCCAACCAACCGGCTTCAGTTAAATAACACACACTCCTGCTCACGGTTCAGACTTCATTCACTCCAACAAAGAATCACAAACTAACCCAGCAGACAACTTACTGGTGTCATGTTTTACGAAGGCGGGCGGGGGGGGGGCGGCAGATGGTGTGTGTAGAGGCTCAGAGGAACACCCCCCACCCCCTCCAACACACACACAACATGTAGATTATAGTAGGTTAAACCCCCAGCACACACAGTGTAGTAATGGTGGAGCTGTTGGCCTGAAGCTCTGATACACTCTAACACTCTGCTGGTTATATAAGCACAGGAACCAGAGGAACTGTGGGAAATACAAGCAGCCACCAGTCTGAACAAAGTCCTCCACAGACCTGGATCTCACCATCAGACACACCTGCTCATGCCTGTCTGTCTGTCTGTAACTAATAATTACTTTCTATTAGAGCTGAAACAATTAGTTGATTAAATGATCAGTCGGTCACTGGGAAATTAACTGGAAACCATTTTGATCATTGGATGTAATTCAGTCAAGTTTCATGTAAAAATGTTCAGATTAAACCTCTCCTCTGTTTTCTGTCACAGTAACCCGATCTGTTTAGACTGTTTGGGTCTAAACCGGAAGGCAGCGCATCAAATTTTCCCATTATTTTTTAGACACGATAAACACTAATCAGTTGATCAAGAAAATAATCTGTAGATTAATTGATAATGAAAAGGGGAATAAGTTATTTTCATTATCAGTAATCTATTAATTATTTCTGGATTAATTAATTATTATTTTGGTCTATAAAATGTCAGAGAGCTTATTCTATTTGCTTTATTTCCATAACCACAGTGTTCAGTTTACTGTGCTGTGACAAAGAAATTCTTCACATCGGAAAAAATATTTGGAATTTTTGTTGATCAATTACTTAAATAATTGTTGCAGCTCTGATGAACACTTTCATCATTGGTTAATCTGATAGTTATTTATCAGTTAATTGATTGTTTAGTCTGTAAAATGTCAGTCACTTTCAGTTTACATCCACAGTGATGTTTTCAGATTGTTCGACCAACAGTCGGAGATTCACTGTACTGTCAAACCTGACAGAGATCTGATCTCCAAACCTGAGAACATCAGATCAGAGGAGAGACGTTTCTTTTTTAAAAATGATTGAAACGTTTAACGAATAATTTCTTGAATCGACTGGTTGCAGCTTCATTATCATTATCATCTGGTGGCCGTTAGAGGAACAACAGGTTAAAGCTCTTCTAGGTCAAGGTCAGCTTTACTGTCATTACACAGTACAGGTCTGCACACTGAGGTGCAGCCGGAACCTCTTTATGTTACATCAGTACAAAACATCACACAACATACGTTAAAACTGAATTAAATGTAACGGTTTCGCTCTGTTTTTGTGATGCTTGGGTTCACATTGTGCCTCATTTTCCCATCACCCCTCGTGTTCTCCCTGTCCTCTCAGATCGCGGAGCTGGTGGTTGACAACAGTCGCTCTGCAGACGGGGAGGTGGAGGGTCTGACAGACGAGTTCACTGAGCTCGAGTTCCTCAGTATGGTCAACGTGGGTCTGAGCTCGCTGGCCAAGCTGCCCTCACTGCCCAAACTACGCAAGGTAACACACACCCGAGTGTGGTCAGTGTTCACTTCTGTCAGCTGATTTCTGTTGTGTGTTATATTTAGCTGTTTGGTTCACTGAATGTTCTGCACACGGTATCTGCAGGTCCTGGAAAACCTTATAAAGATCTTTTGAAAGTATTAAAAAGTCTTAAACGTAATGAGCAGCTGTCTTTAAGCTTGTCTACTGGTTGCTGTGGCAACTGTCAAATACAACAATAAAAGACTTTACCATCAGCAGCAATCACCTGACTGAAATCTCCTCACCTGGCACATGAGCTGAGAATTTTTAATCCAACCATGTTCTGCCACTCATCCAGGTCCAGGCTGCGTTCATGAAACCATTTGAAACTGTTGGAGGAACTGGAGCTGTGTAATTCTGATAATGAATAACTGGTCCATGTTATCTCTGCCTGTTTTCCTTCATACTTGGTGGTTGAATCGTGGTATCGAGGTGTTGAACTGTTTTCTATGCGGTGTTAACAGTCTGTCTTCCCGAGTCGTGTGTGGATGTAGTTGTTTAGTTTATTGTGGATCATGTGACATCCACCACAGGTGATAACACAGGTGTCTTCTTCTCTCTCAGTTGGAGCTGAGCGACAACAACCTGTCCGGTTCTCTGGAGACTCTGTCAGAGAAATGTCCCAACCTGACCTACCTCAACCTGAGCGGGAACAAGATCAAAGAGTTGAGCAACGTGGAGGCACTGGTGAGAACACACACACACACACTCTCTGCATCATGGATCTGTTTGTAGCTGACACTACGCTAACCTGATGTTTCCTGCTTCAGCAAAACCTGAAGAGCCTGCAGAGTCTGGACCTGTTCAACTGTGAGATCACGTCCCTGGAGGACTACAGGGAGAGCGTGTTCGAGCTGCTGCCTCAGGTCACCTACCTGGACGGCTTCGACCAGGAGGACAACGAGGCTCCAGACTCCGAGGCCGAGGACGAAGGTGGGACACTGAGTTTAGTTTAGAAACTGCTGAGTGAACGTTGTCTCTGTGTGAATATTGTTGTTTGTCTCTGTGTCAGTGGCAGCTGGTGATTAAAACAATTTGTGAGAACAGGAGAAAAAACCAGCCCACCATGTGACTTTACACTGGTCGGCTCTTTATCTCTACTTTCTTATGTTTGACGGCACATCGTAGACCCGCCATGAGTCGAGCTGAGGCAGCGAGGCCCGAGACTGTGTCATTGGACCATGTCAGTATTGTGTTCTGGTTGTTGATTGGTCAGGGAGGATGTCCTCTGTGTTTTGGCCAATAACAGATTAGTATGAAGAAAAAAAATGAAGTACATTATATTGATATAAGAGACCCCACCCTCCACTGCCCCCACCACCACTTCTCACAGACTGTCCTCCCCCTTCTTACCTGTCCTGCAGGTGCTGAAGAATTTGAATCAGATTTTCAATAATGGATTTTTCTACAGAAGAGAGAACATTTATTTTATAAATGCCACTATATGTTTATTACAGCCAGTCACTGTTTGATATTTGTTGATCTCCTCTGGTCTGAACATCGTCTCTGTTCACAGATGAGGACGGCGAAGACGGGGCTGGGCCGACTGGAGACTACGATGATGAGGATGATGAAGAGGAGGACGAGGACGGCTCAGAGGGAGGAGAGGTGGGGCTGAGCTTTCAGGTGAACCGTGGCAATCAGGTGGGCAACTCAGGCTTTGGCCCGCAGGTCAAACCACAGCCGGCTCAGACGCAGGTGTGCGTCCCCTCCCATAATGCACCTGTGCTCAACCAGGCAGAGAACAGACACTGAACAGTGGTGAGACAAAACCGCCAGCCAGTGTCAGCAGGTGACGGTCAGGTGTTAAAGGTTCTTCTTATAGACTGGTTCTCCTGCAGGTAGACGGGAAGTGTTTTTTCAAAATAAGCTGCAAATAGAACAGTCAGAACCATCTGTAGCAGATTTTTCACAATCAACTCTGAAATGATGTTTTGACAAAAGGAGACAGATGTGGAGCAGAGCAGGACCAGATGCAGCTGAATTCAGCTCTACATATAAAATGTGTTGATATGATCTGATTGTGTGGTGTTAACGAGACGTGAACCACAGCATGAAGTCTGATGCTCGCGTGATTCATCATGGAGGTTCATTTGAATGAGTCTCTGCCTGGTCTGAACTGAGCCGGTTTGGTGGGGTGACCTCAGGTGTGACCTCAGGAGTGGTGTTCTTGACCAGGTTCAGCACCAAAATGGCCGCCTCTGACACCAGACTCTGATCAGGGGGAGTAGAGCGTCTGAGAACAGATTTCTCTCCTTTGGATTAAAACCAGAAACTAGTATTAGTGAATTTGACAACAATAATCAGACAGCACAGTAAGAAACTCTGCAGAAGTGTTATCATTTTTTATTTTCAAAATAAAATGTTCAAGATTTCAATATAAATATTAAAAGTTAACAATACTGTGTGGAAATACTGATTTTATTTATTTATTTATTTATTTTAAATATTTTGTCTTTGTTTTTGTTTTTTTAACACTCAAACTATAATTAAGTACTTTTACAATTTAGAGAATAAACTATAGTTTTTGCCACTCTCATGGCACAATCCTGGATTGATCCAAGACGGCACCATATCTTCTATCATCATTTTTTTATATCTTCTATAATTTGTCACATGTAAATATATTTATATTTTTCTAAACAGTTGTTGTAAAGACATTAAGAACAACGAGCTGTCAGAGTCGGTCTGATGGAGATCAGCCTGGTCACAGTGACATAGACGTGATTAATAGTAGTAGAGCTTCATTAGTGTCGTCCAATCAGAAACAAGCTTCCTGTCTTTTATTTTGAAAGTGTCAAACTTCGGCCGAATGTAGAGAAAAAGTTAAACTGTTTCATCTTCTTTAGGAGGACGATGAGGATGAGGAAGACTATGGAGAGGAGGAGGAGGAGGAAGGTGAGTAAAACACCATGGGTATTTTGAAGATTTAATTCAGAGTGTGTGTGTTATGATATTCAGATCATAAGAGCGGAGGTTTCAGTCATTTGACATGATGTTCCGGTTGACCCTTAAGAACCCGTAGACCAAAATCTGCAGCTTAATCCATTAATCAATGGACTCATGAATGGATTACGATAAAATAGTTTTAAATATTTTTACCGTTTGAGTAATCAGTAGCATCATGTCTCTGAAACTTCACCTTAATGATATAAAGTTCTGTAAAGATCCTTTACCTTGGACAGTTTCTATTACCTGTTAGTAAAATAACTCATGCGGAGGTTTTAACTGAAGAGCTGTGATTGGTCAGAATCCTGCCGGCCTCCTCTGATTGGTTGACTTTTCTCTTGGTGCAGAGGATCAGGCGGGCGTCCAGGGACAGAAGAGGAAGAGAGACGTGGACGATGAAGGTGAAGAAGACGATGATGACGAAGACGACTAGTTCTCCGGCCGACCGCCATCCGTGTGTCGTCCTGTCCTGTTTCTGTCCGTCTCAGTCCACCTCCGGACCCGACCTCCGCCAGACAACAACCTCTGCCACTGCAGCAACCGGCAACAACAGCAGGGACAGCAACAGCAGCAACAGGAACAGTGATGTCAGATAGCTCCTCCTGCGGTAGAATATCACCTCTTTATTTTAGATAATATATAAGATTTTATCAGAACTGTACCTGCTGGACTCCGTCTCCCTTTAAAACCTGGTTCAGGATCAAAGCTTCTGTCTATCCGGTAAGTCCGTCTCCTCTCCACATCCTGAACTCTGATCCTCGTCTGAACGTTCTCTGGATGGCTGACTCTGAAGGTGAAGTCCTGGTGTGGACCGGCTCCTCGTTAGCAGAGGTTCTGGTGTGAAAACCAGGATCCAGAACACACTGGACCAGATTTCTGTCTCTGCAGTTGGCTCTCTATCGTCTTCTTCTCCTGCTCGTATGAAGCTGTTGACGACCTTTTCAAGCACAGCACTCTTCCAAAACCAGGTTTATTTGTACAAACTAGAGGGACGGGTCTCTGGTCCCACTCAGAACTTTTTATAAGAACCTTCTCTCAGCTGGAGTCCTGAGGAGCCTCCAGTCCAGACTACAAGACCCTCCGCCATCTGTTAGTCCCAGTACGACACACAGGTTGTTTTAACTAACTTCCTGCTCTCAGGTGGTGCTGCACATGTGCATTACCATAGTTACCTCACATCACCTCTGCAGATCAGTAATAGATGATTGACGAGTTTGTGTTTTTAACTTATGCTAAAATCAGATCTACTGTCATAAAACCACTAGAGTACACTTTGACCCAGACTGAGACCCTGCCCTTCAAGACGTCTCAGTCCAGTTGTTTGGTCCACAACAGTTTGATTGACAGCTTTAACTCCAGACCAGACAGGTGAGCTGTGAACGCAGCTTGAGAACAATCTGATCCACAGATACGTCTCGTTGTTTCTGTTGAAATCATGCAGACCAGTTGTGGATAATCTGTAATCACCACAGCTCAACACGTCCTGGACTCAGATGTGAACTCTGGTCTGAGGATCTTGTAGTCTGGACTGGACTGAACCTGTTGTCCCAGCCCTCCACAGCTTCCTGCAAGAGCCTGACAGGAGACCTTCAAAACCACCAAAGTCTGCAGCCGTCCTGGTACAGATGTAGAGTTTCACCTCACCTCTCATGTCAGGACCTTCTTCTTCTTCTTCTTCTTCTTCTTCTTCTTCTTCTACTTCTTCTTCTTCTTCTTCTTCTTCTTCATAGTCATCATCATCACATGCTTCTCTGAGCCTTCATCATATCACTTTGTCCCTCTGAGCTTCAAACAACCATCCACATCAAATGTGATCCACACCTTTTTAAAAAGAACCCGATTCTTTCTGCAGCCATATCAGTCTCTGGACTCTGACGGGAGAGGAGAGCGCCCCCTTCAGGACATCAGTGTGTCTAACACCCAATCAGGGACGTTTCATGTTTCTGTCTCCACCCGCCGTGTTGAACAGTTCAGGATCCACGTCCACGTCATGTTTCAGTCCGAACTGTCCCTGAACTGGATCAGTAGTGATCCCGTTGACTCTGCTGTCTCTGCCGCGTCTCACAGTTCCACTATATGCAGACCTGCTGTCGCTCAGGTCCACACAGGAGATCGTATTAATAATATTCCCAGTGTGTGTTTGATTTATTGTAGGGATTCTACAGGGAAGATTAGGGGCGGGTGGGAGGAATTATTAGTTCTGATGTGTTTGTTTTTTGGAGTTAACAGAGACCTGTTTCTGTCCCTGATCAGAAGCTGTTGTTTTTAGTTTGATGTAAAACCGAGCAGCTCGTCCTCAAACTGCCCGTCCCTCCTGATGTCCAGACTGCCGCCGCTGTGTCACACTTTAGGCTCCACCTCCTAAAAAGGACTCACAAACGTGGTGCGTTCAGGTGCTCCTCGTCTACTCATCAGGTCAGAAATATCCGAGTTCACCAGCAGGAAGTTCCTCAAACGTTAGATGAATCCTGTCAGGGAGGTCAGTCTGTTTGGGATGAAAACTGTTTACAACTCTATATGACAGAAAATAATCAAAAAATTAATATAAAAAAATTTCTGTATGAAAAGTTTAATATAATGCAGATTAATTCAGATGAATAACACCAGGTTCAAGGGTTCAGTTCAAACAGGAGGTGTTTTATTTCAGGTTTGTCTCTTTCAGTACCATCTTCATCATGTGATTAAGAGCTGTGAGTCAGTGCAGCAGGTTAATGTGTCTCTTCAATGACAGTCAGTTTTACTTCCTGTGATGGATTCTCTTAGACCTTGGATATAACACCCAGTCATGTCTGTCTCTGACTTAACGAGCTGGTGAGATCACCTGAATGCACTGTCATATTGACAGATGTGCAGTGGGTTATGGGATATTGAGGACTAAAGAATGCAACAGCTGTGTCTTCCAGAGTTTCTCAGTGTAGTTTACCTGTTTGAAGGGGGTGGAGTCTGAAACAGGACACACCTGCGGCGTCTGTTTCAGGTGTCATGACACGGCTTCAGATTCTACTTTTTACTTCCTGCTTCCTCCTGCTTTATTAAACAGCAGCAAACAAGACTTGGCTGGAAATAAATGAAATGATCATCACAGAATAGACCTAAAGAAACAGATCCTCATTTATCTCCAGGTCATGCCGGTTTGTTCCTGATGAGCAGCAGACTCTGTACAGCTCTGACTTTAAACTGCTGTAAACTTTTAGCTTTTCTCTCATTTACACTCTTAAAAACAGCATCTTTTTAAACACGCCCACGTCTGATTTCGTACACAAAAATACTTCACTGTGCAACAACTCAACTCGCTCGAGCTGAAGTTGTTGGACTGCGACAACAACAATCGTTTGGTCTTAAGTTATAAAACTCTGCTCCTGAATCGTGGCCGGGATTCTCTGGTTCAGGTACTCTGATTTGGCTCATGTTCAATTTTAGGTCTGAACGTTTTTACTGTTCCAGCTGTTGAACTCATATTTCTTTGTAATTTGACTTTTTAATACAATTTTTTAAAACACTCTAATGGAAACAACAGATGACAAAATGATCTCAACATGAGGTCAAATTTGGAAGCCTTAACATAATCAGTTCCAACATCAGCTGACAACTGAGCCAACTCCATCTGCTGATGAAAATCATATGATATGATCAAAAGCTCCAGAACAGCTACTAAACTGACTTTAAGGGCAGATTGATTTGTCATAATTTTATCGTGTTTTCATGTTTCTAAATACATTAAACTTCATTTAAATGAAAAGTGTATATACTGCACAGTTTTCTCATGAATGACTACTCGTTATCTGGTCGGCTTTAAATGTTGATTAGTTCTCGTCCTTCATCAGAGAGACCTGACGAGTGGTTACTGTCAGCATGAACTCCAAGCCAAAACTAACTGATCAGCTGATTAACAGAGAAGTAATCACAGGAAATTTTGACAATTGTATAATTGTCAGGCAAAAATTCTCTGGTTTCGCGAAACAGTTAATCAATAAAATGAAAAAACTGATCAGCAGATTAATTGTTAATCTTGATTTGTATGTTTGTGGGTGGGAAGTCAGTGAGGGATCTCTGCAATGACTCCTGGTGGTCCGTCGTCAAACTGCACGTCTCAAATAAAAACATGAACCAGACAAAAACATGACATAGGCATTAGGATGTGTTTAACGTGGCGTGTTGTTCTTAAGAGTGTAAAGGTCAAAGGTCATGTCTGTCAGACCTGCTGAGGTCGGTTTTAACTGGTTTTTAAGGCAATATTGTAAATAGACTCTCAGCTCAGTTTCAGGTTTGTTTTTATTTTGTTAATGACTTAAATAATTTTACAGATGTTTTTGTTTTCTGCAGAAAGGTGATAGTTGACCCACGCCTTTGACCTTTGACCCCAGCTCACTCCTGTGTCAGCTGTTAGTTTCCCTCCATCGTCCCGTCTGTGGGGACAAACTGTATTTGACTTTTTGTGTGGTGTAACAGAAACAATACTGAGGGTTTTCAATAAAAACATGAAAGGAAAACAAGTTGTTTTCAGCTCATTTGACCAGTTTCCTTCAGGTCCCTGTTGACATTGTGTCATAACTTTTCTGTTTGCATTAAATTTGTCACACTCACCCAACACAAACTGTTCACCTGTTCCTCTAGACACCTACAAACACCCAAATTCATCCCCAGTCCTTTTCTAAGATTTAGGGACAATCTGCAGATAACCAATCAAAACCAGACCAGGGATCCTCCTGGAGGTCTAGAACAGGAGTAGTCAGTAGTCATTACTACATTATTATCAAACAGTCTGCGCCAAATCTCTATGATGTTTTCAATATGAACACACTGAGTTGTGTTATTAGTTAAAATAGATTGTGTTTGTTCATAATTGTCATAACTTAGATGGAGATCTGACCATATTTTTATCTATAAATGCAGATGATTCAAAGCTTCACTGACTTCTTGTTGCGTCTGTTAAATCTAATGTGTTAGATCCTTTAGAGAAGTGAAAGACATGAAGGGAAGCTCAAAACAAAGAAACTGAAACAAACTGTAACATGACCCCACAACGCCGCGGGACAACATGAGGTACAGTTCAGCCTGTAAACAAACACACATACACAGTAACACACACTGTGTGAGGACTCGGCTTCCATCTGCTGATAAATATCAATAAAACATGAGAAACACTTCTTCTAATGGAGAGAGGAGGAGGTGGGCAGATGAAGGGTAATGGAAAAGAAAATAATGGGGAGAAAGGAGGGGGAGAAAATGTTAAGTTTACAAGTTAAAGAAATGGACAGAGGAGGAAAAATTAGGAGGGAATGAGGTGAGGAAGGAGATGGAGGAAAGAAAACAAGGTGGAGAGAAGAAAAACATGACTGGAAGAAAGGGAGGAAAGAGGAGAAGAAGGGAGGGATGATACAGGAAGAGAGGAGCAAGGAAACAAGCTGTAGAGATAAGATGGAAAAGAATGAGAATGAAGGAGGAGATAAAAACATGGAAGATTGTGGAAAAGAAAAGAGGAAAGATAAAGAAGTAGGAAGAAAAGAGAAGGATAAAGACAAACAAGAAAAGAAGGAAGAGAAGAAAAGGGAGGCTGGGAGAGAGAAAGAGGAGTTGAAGGGGGAAATATAAAAAAGGAGGAGGAATGAGAACGTAAAGGAGAAAGGTGAGGGAGGGAAGAGGAGGTGAAAAAGAAAAGTGGGGAGGTGAAAAGGAATGAAGAGGAAAAGAGGAGGAGTAAGACAAGAGGAGATAAAGAAGGAAAATGATCTGATGATTATCTTTTATCTGATTATCTCTAATTCTTTTTCTTTTTACAGTAAATATAAAGATGATTAATAAAATATGTCATTAAATCAAGTTTCACTTTGAAAAACAGTCAAAAGAGTCAAATCAACAAAGACAGAAGACGACTAACAAAATGAATGACGTTAACCAGTGATTACCATATACAATGATATATGACATGAAGTGTGTCAAGTAGACGACCTGTGTAAACACGTTGTTTGTAACATGACGATCATCAAACCGGCTGTCAAACAGCAGCGGCTGGAACATTAAATATTATAATACGCACACACACACGTTTCACTTTTAACACACGTGTGTGTGACGGTCGACATAAAGAGACGAGTCCTGAAAGTAATCTACAATAGAATTAATCACAGTTCACTGATTCATAAACATCATGAAATATCTTGACACTAAAAATTCACTCATTCATTTTATATAGATCACCTAAAGACTACAGAATAAAGCTAAAGACAACACATTTCATAAAGGATTTTATTGTGAAAATCATGTTTCTCTTCCTTTAAAGTTTCCTTTTCACATTAAATTTTTTCTGTTTCAGCAGATAATAAATTGATAAAGTTTATTCATTAAAGGCAGAAAAAAAATAAACAAATAAAAATGTTACAATTAACAAGGAACAAAAGGGAATAAAGATTAAAAAGTAAGATTAAAAACCAATTAAGAGACAGTTTATAAATATGAGAGAAAATCATTTTGCCTTTTATTTTATATACATATATATTTGTGAACCTGACGATCACTTAATATAAATGTTACTGTCTCCACTGTTATGATGATACAGAAATATACATTTCAAGATGAAGGTTCATGTGTGTTCAGAGTTTGTCCTGCAGGTGGCGCTCTCATCTTTCTGCTGACTCTGACATCACTGAACCAAACGCTTTCTGTTTGTGTTTAAGATTTTCTTCATTTAAATAAATAAAATTGTGAAGTTTGTTTTATAAATGCAAAATAAATCAAACCTGAGCAGCTCAGATTGGTTTTTTAATATAAAATGAGGATTTCAGACAAATCAGATCAGAATTAAAGGAGCATCCTGCTGACTTCACATGAAACAAACTGTGATCATATAAAACATCTTCACAGGAAGAACACACACTGAACAGGTGAGATGATGTTTTTTAATATGTTAAATCTACACACACATCTGTGAACATCTGGTCCAGTTCATATATAAAGTGAAGTGAGGATTTATTCTTGCTCTGGTTTTTATTTTCAGCTCCGTCCTCAGCTCCTCTTCTAGTGTGTGAGGGATGGAAGGAGAGAAGGAGGTAAGATGAAGCTCCCCCCAGACCTCCTCCTCCTCTTCTTCAAAAAGACGGTTAAATTGTCCTTTAATGGATCCAACAGCTGTGATACCCCACCCACCCCCCGTCTGCCTCCAGTCCCAAGAGGAAACATTAATCTGCTTCACTCTCCCGTCAGTCACAGGCTCCAGCTGCTCTGATTGGTCAGTGAGGGTCAGATGGTCAGACTCAGACTCAGACTCAGACTCAGATCAGCAGGTCTCAGAGAAGGAAAAAGTTTTCATATGACAGACTTTAGAAACAATACATCTTTTTATCTGTCTAATAAAAATCATCTGTCCACCACACACACACACACACACACATACACACACACACAGACATATATACTGTACACCTGTCAAAGTCCTAACTTCCTCTGTGATACTTCCTGTTACAGTCGGTGTCTCTAGAACCACATTTCTCCATGATGACACTCTCATCCTTGTCTTGCTGTGTTTGTGAGGACCCATCATTAACACAATGCATTCCCTGGCCCCTAAACCTGATTCTAACCCTCAAACCAGGTCCTAACCTCAAACAGCTATTTTAAACCTGTGGGGTCCAGGATTTGGTCCTCACAAAGCTGTCAGACCCCACATGTATAATGAGCTCCTGGTTTTCAGATCCCATGAATATAGTAAACCAGACCCAAGCACAAAGACTAAAATGCTCCCTAATGTACGGGAATCATTCCTGCAGCACTCTATTTGTCCATGTTGTGTGAAGACTGAGACCAGACCAGGGGCCGGTTTCACAAAGATATTTCAGACTGGTCTGTGCTGTTGGTCCAGTCTTAATTGTGCTCGCAAATTAGTCTAAAAATTAGTAAGACCAGTTCACAAAAATAAAGACTGACACATTTTAAGGCAAAAACATTGGACACTTTACCCCCAGGCTAACTCAAGCCTAAGACCAATGTTACCATGGTAACAATCAAAGACACCTGCACTGACCAGTAGCAACCAACAACAAAAAAAAGGAACACAATTCATTGTAACACAGTCCAGCGTATGATAGTTAAGAATTAAATTACTTTGTGCATCAGATGAATTTAGACATCTATCTGAAGTCTGACTTTTTGTTACTTCTACGCCACAGTCAAAGTCTATCTTTGTGAAACCGGCCCCTGAACACACCTGAAGCAGGTGTACTGGGCCAAAGCCAAGATGGAGGATGTTAAAGGTTAAACTGGATTTAAACAGAAAAAGGAGTCTCTGCAGTGTCAGTTCTCTGATGGACTCTTCCTTTAAAATGACTAGTTCATGTTTTCACTATGTTTATTTCAACTCCTCTGTTTAGTCTCTTTAGCCCTCAGATGATCTGATTAGTTCAGAGCTCTGAGCTCAGTCCACAGACAGGTCTCAGTTTAAACTGTTCTTGTGTCATTAAACCATTGTCAGTGTTTACATGTTTTTATGTTCTGTGTAATTATCTTTATTTAGTTTTTATCAGGATAAACATGTAAACCTTGATATATCCTAGGATGGACATGAAACACAAGACATGAGACACATTTACCCTCACATTTCCAACTATTATCACACTTGTTATCATTATTCATCATCATCATCATTGTTATTCGCCAGTCTGTAGCTTTAGTTTTATCACCAGCTTAAAAAGACACATTCTTATAACAATTTAACTGAGTTTAATCATCAGAGCTGTATGTGTGTTAGCGTGTTAGTGTGTTAGCATGCTGTCCTTCTATTGTGTGTTAGCTCCTCTGAAATATTTACACTCTCCAACCTAAAAGCCTTTGGTTGTCATGTTATTTTTATAAGACACAGATACATGAACACACACATACACACACACACACACACACACACTCGCAGGCGATGAGCATGATGGGTCGATGACATCACTCTGACCTCACCAACGCATTTTGTGTGTGTGTGTGCTGTTGCTGATGATGTCACCATCCTCTCCCTGTCGTGTTTCGATAATAAACAGGAAGTATTTTTAGTTCTGTTGCTATGAGAGCGGCAGGACGATACTCTGTCCTCCTCTTCGTCCTCTACCTCCTGCCCCGACGATGACGATGGTGTGATCAGTTTTGTGCGCATCGAGCTGCAGAGGCCTCACCTGCTGGTCTATCTGCAGGGCCTTCAGACTGTGTGTTTGTTCACCTGCGTCAAAATACAGATTTTAATCTTCCTCTCTGCGCAGTCAGATCCTGGAGCTCACACTCAACATTAACAGTGAATCTCTGTCCATCTGTCCACTGAGTCGGGACACGGAGGTTACAGGTGAATCAAAGTAGTCCAGACGTCCCTACAAAGTTTCTCCAGCTCCTCCCAGAGGACCCCAAGGTCTTCCTAGACCAGAGGAGACATAGAGTCTCTTCAGCATGGTCTGCGTCTACACCGCGGTCTCCAACCACTCAGACATGCCTGGAAAACCTCCAAAGGAAGTTGCCCAGGAGGATCCTGACCTGATGCTGAAACATACAAAGGAGCAGCAGCTCCACCCAAACCTCGTGACAAGATACAGAGATACTTAAACTCCCTCAGCTGAGGCAGCAACTCACTCCAAGGGAGGGAGGGAGAAATCCAGTCCTAGAACCACTCTCACCCAGACTCCTTCAGATTCAGCTGTAAACCACCGCAGAGCTCATTCACGGTCTGATGAAGTCAACAGATCCACATCATCAGAGCCACAGACAGAGACGGTTACAATAAAGTGACAACCAAGAGAGGAGGAGACAGATGGAGAAGAAAATCAATAATCAATAACTTATTTTCCCAGTTACATTGTGGTGACAAATGTCGTCTCTGACTGAATCACATTTATTAACAGCAACACAGTCTCAGGAGGACGGACAGAGATCAGACCTGAGACTCCACAGACCAGGTGCACACCCAGAGGAGAGGAGGATGAAGGAGAGGAGGATGAAGGAGAGGGGGATGAAGGAGAGAAGGGTGGAGGAGAGAAGGATGGAGGAGAGAAGGAGAGAGGAGAGGAGGAATGAAGGAGAGGAGGATGAAGGAGAGGAGGATGAAGGAGAGGTGGATGAAGGAGAGAAGGGTGGAGGAGAGAAGGATGGAGGAGAGGAGGATGAAGGAGAGGAAGACAGAGGAGAGGAGGAGAGAAGGAGAGGAAGATGAAGGAGAGGAGGATGAAGGAGAGGTGGATGAAGGAGAGAAGGGTGGAGGAGAGAAGGATGGAGGAGAGGAGGATGAAGGAGAGGAGGATGAAGGAGAGGAGGATGAAGGAGAGGTGGATGAAGGAGAGAAGGGTGGAGGAGAGAAGGATGAAGGAGAGGAAGACAGAGGAGAGGAGGAGAGAAGGAGAGGAAGATGAAGGAGAGGAGGAGAGAAGGATGGAGGAGAGGAGGATGAAGGAGAGGAGGATGAAGGAGAGGTGGAGAGGAATAAACGAGGTCGAGGCTTTGAACAGACGCTGCAGGGCTCTGAGTCACAATGAACACATAGACCATCCCCCAACACACACACGGTTACACCCGACACGTAGTAACACACACACACATACTAACATACTAACATACATACAGTGTTACACTCACACACTCTCCTCCTCTCTAATCCTTCCTGTTTTAAATGAGAACAAACTGTAACACTGACCTGGTACACACCGGACCTGAGTGTGTGCATGTGTGTGTGTGTGTGTTAATGAAAAATGTAACACACCCCCACCCAACCACCATCCACCCCCTCCCCCTCCTGAAACAGAAGCATCAGACAGCGTCAGTGTAAATAATTTATTGACCTCTGATGTGAACATGAATCAGCTTCCACCGTTTCATCTCAGTAAATAACCCAGTTAACACACACACACACACACACACACACACACACACACACACACGTCTGATTTTTTGTGTTTTCTTTTTTCTTCATCTCCGGCAGCCGGGGGCCACATTCACATTGAGGGGCCTCAGGCAGAACTATGACATGTCCTCAACAAATCATCATGTTTGTAACCTGATCACAGGTTTTCTACAGCCATGAGATAACTGTCATGGTCAGACGTAGCTGTCACTGTGTTGGACTGAAGGTCCTGAAGATGAAGACCTGATCCCAGTGAAGACCAGGACAGGAGTCAGGTGGTCTCTCTGGTTTCTTATCAGAACCCAAAGACTAAAAACAAATCATGTGAATCATCAGTTACAGACCTGAAGCTGTAACTGATTCTCATTGGATGGAGCTAAGCTAACAGTTTCCCTCTGCCTCCAGTCTTTGTGCTAAGCTAAGCTAACCAGTATCACACAGAGATGAATGTGAAACGTGAGAGGATTTATCTAAAACAGTTGGACTGGTCCTTTAAGGTGGATCTGGTTTTCAGATGCAGCGACACGCAAACACAGCGTGCAGCAGATTAGTCATCAAGAAATGCTCACACATGCATACATAATCACACACACACTCATGCATTAGGCACATGCACGCACATGTTGGTGTGTGTGTGTGTTGTAGAGGTGGAGCTGTGTAATGGAGCGATGCTGTTTGTCCTGCCCTACATCTGCTCTGCTCTTCATTGCAGCTCACTGACCTGTGTGTGTGTGTGTGTGTGTGTGTGTGTGTGTGTGTGTGTGTGTGTGTGTACGGTTGTGGTGTGGTGGTGTGGGCGTGTGTGTGGCTCTCGTGCGTGCGTGTGTGTGTGTGTGTGTGTGTCCTCTCACTAACTGATGAATCTCACTCTGGGCTGTCGGCCAATAGTGCAGCTGGATGCATGGGTCATGTGACCAGAATGTGGAAGTGTCATTTCCAGACCTGAGTCCAGAATTATTACTCAGTAAAAGCAGGAGAAGAAGAAGAAGAAGAAGAAGAAGAAGAACAAGAACAAGAACAAGAACAAGAACAAGAACAAGAACAAGAAGAACAAGAAGCTCCTGCAGTGGTGGAAAGTAACTGTGTACATTTACTCAGTACTGTACAGTAATGAAGTGCTTCTACTTTACATGAGTACTCCACTACATGTATGATACTTGGATATATGTAATCCTGCTGAACAGAGAGTGTGTCAGTATCATAAACTGTTTTGTGTCACGGATTATTATTTTCTGTAGTAATCCAAAAGACAATGTACAAATCCCATTAGCTTTTTGTGGAGGGAACCAGGGTGAGGCTAAGTTAAGGGTTGGACAACTAAAATACATTGTCCCTGCAGCACACTATTAATGTCCCATGTATTACACTAAAACCAACATGTGAAAACAGACCTTATTTGTTGTCACAACTTAACCACTTATTGAACCTCATATCTGCACCTCTGCAAAGGTCCACTACACGTAATTCATGCACAGATGTTAATTGTGACATTTGTTCAAGGTGGTTTGTGTGTTCACCATTAGCAACACACAGTGACACACTGTAATGTACTGTGCTGTAATAAGTCACTTGATCACATGTTTCTTCTTCAAACTTTTTTTTTATTTACTTAAAAAAAATCAGCCAATGAGGTGAGATGAGTTCATGAAGTTGAAGCAGACATCTGAAATAATGTCACCCCACTGCGGGTTCTTTACCTTAGTTTATTTTGCATGTGAAGACGAGGTGTGGATGCTCAAAACAGAAAATAAACAGTGTTTTTTTTCTGGCGCCATTTACCCACAATGCATTGCTGTTTACAGTAATTCAACATCATTCAAAAACATCAACATATAAATATTTAGTTAAATAAAAGAAGCAAGAAAGAAAACATTTAAAATAACTTCATATTTTGACAAAGTGAATATAATGTTAAATTATACAGTGAATCGTCTTTTTAAATGTGCATAAACTTTAAAATAAATAAAGATTTCTGTTATCTTTCAACCCACAGAACAATGACTCCATGCTTTTACCTCTGACAGTGTTGTCCTCTACTAACTGAGTTCTTCCTCATCACCAGCATGACAAATGTGCAAAAAGAGAAAACGATGGTGAAAACATTGTGACCGACAAATGGAGATAAAGTAAAGTGAATATTTAACGTTACAGTACCAACACAACATGTGACTTTAAACAGAGATTTAAATTATTGTCAATGATTATCAGCTGATATTCGATCAGGGTGAAAAGGATTTTTTTTGTTGTCCACATTTCCAAAGATCACATTTCAGTGTAAAAGTGTTTTAATGAAGAAAAACATTTATTTTTTTATATATGAGTGTAGGTAACAATTATTTTCATCATTAATTAAAATATTAGTTATGTGTGAATCAAGTGTTTGCTTGAACCAGAACATTTATATATATATAATTTTCTGAGTAAAGCTGATAAACGGATAGTGATTTATTCTATGCCAATGTACAAATTAGTACATAATTATATAACTAATGGTTCAGCAATAATTTCTTTGTTTTTCTGTAATGACATGCACATTTCGTCATATCCATAACATTTACATGTCAACACTTTAAATTCCGTCATCTGGTCATGGCTCCAAAACAAGTTTAATAATTTGTTCGTATCCATGAGAAGTAACTGTTTCCATGTGTTCCAGCTGTTTACATATGTTGGTCATGATTCAGTTGTCAGAGATCATAATCAAAAATGTTTATATTGAATTTTTTTCTCTCAAAATCGATATTGGTCTCAAACCCAGTATCAGTCCGATGTGCTGATTAAATAAAACTTTATTTGGTAAAACACAGCTGACATGACACAGGCTTTAAAGTGGGTCAAAATCTAATTTTTAGACCTTCAGCATTTCAGTTTATGCTTTAAATCTGAAGTTTTGCAAAGACAAACTACACATCTTTCAGCTTATTCTTACCCTCTAACACGTTAATCCATCCACACTTCCTGTTCTGTAGTTTTAGAGATGTTTTTCTCTTATTGATATTATTGCTTATTCTCTTTTCATGATGTGGAATATTTAACTCCCTGATTTTTGTTGAAGTAAAAACTCACTGTTAATGTTCATGTGAAAATCTCGAGGTTAAAAACATCAACAGAGAGCTGGAAGTACATTTTAGGAGGGAAATATGGGGCTACAACTAAATTAGAGATTGAGAATTTATAAGAACATTTTAAACGAAATGTCACACATACAGACATAATATATATTAGCAAATAAATCAGGTAACAGGTATTTAAATTCTTAATCATCAGCATCACTTTTCAGTGAAAAAATTACAACAAACTCGCCCCATCCCTGCCGTCCCCCAATCATGCCCATAGGAAACATAGTGCTCTTCAGTGCCATCATTGAAAAAGATTCCCATTGTAAAAATGTTGACATCTTCACTTGGAAAAATTGTCTTCGACAAACTGTCTTTTTTTCTCTTTCAAAAACCCAAATATCTCTTCCCAAAAATTCACAGGGGAAACATCGTCTCTGAAATCAATGGAGAGGCTTTTCACTTCACCTTCAGCAAAAAAAGACAAAGAGAAACGTGCAGCACCATTAGAGAAGGTGAAGGGTGGGGCCTCTCCATTAAAACTGTATTTATTTAAATCAAATGTGACACATCTGTCACACAAAGAGACTTTGTGGAATAAAATGGGCAGCAGAAGTGAGAGGGCGTCTGACTGGTGACAGTCTAGTGCACTGTGGAGGATTAAAGTCATTTAACCTCCTGGGAAGAACTGTAGATTGCTGGTTTCAAAATAATCCACATTTGCTTAAGTGTTCATGTGCATCCCACTGTCCCCGCATTAAAAGATGAAAAACATTTGAGGGGTTGAATTAAAAAGTCCTATTTTATGTAAATCTTGTCTCTTTTTGTGCGTGCTGAAAAACATTGCCACTTTCATTGAGAAAATTCATTAATACAACAAATATTTGTGGAAAAAATCCTCATCAAGGGGTCTCTGACTCGTCATCCTCCTCCGGTGATGTTGGCGAGGCGGGCGTGTCGTCCTCGTCTGCTGCCGCCGCCACTGCCGTCGTCGATGTCATCTTTTCGTAGGTCCTCCTGCGCTGCCGCCGAAGCGTCTGGCTCTGCAGCTCCTTCACCTCCTGCAGCACTTCCTGTGCCTCCTTCCATGATGACACGGCCTCCTCCAGGAGGCGCTCGGCTTCAGCACGCCTCCTCTCCACATCCAGGTCCTCCTCCGACAGCAGGGAGGGAGGTGAGGCTGGGAGAGCTGGGGACAGGCAGTGTTTGTCGGGGGTTTTGGACTCGAAGGATCCAGAGAAACTCGGGGAGTTCTTCTGACTCGGACAGGGTGACTCCTTGCTGCTCCCCAGACGAGGGGAGCCAGCTTCACTGCCACAAGGTGAATCAGATCCTTTAATCTGAGAGGAGTCAGATCCTCTGACACATGGTGGTGATTCGGGCAACTTCTGTACAGGAGATTCGTCTTTGTTGGGACCAGAGGAGCTGGACGATCCCTTGAGGCTTGGTGAACAGACTTTGTCAGAGCTTTTTGATCTAGGAGAGTCGGGGGCTGTGAAACGAGGTGACTCTTTCGGTCGAGGGGAGTCGTTTGCTTTAGCAGCAGGAGAATGGGATCCTCTGGAGCGAGGCGAGTCTGTCCCTTTGGAGCGATTCTTCTTGGCTTTGGATCGAGGAGACTCTCTCCCCCTCAGCCGAGGAGAGTCTTTGCCTCGGAGGCGAGGAGAGTCACTGCTCCTGCTCCTTGAAGATCCTGATGACCTGCTGAAGATGACAACAACAATCAGTTAGACATTGATCCTTTTAAGCTTCACAGTGCAATTTTCAAATATTACCACAGTACATGGTCTGACAAAAACTTGTCTGTCACAGAGTAGTGCGAAACAATTGGGCAGATTTCACTGGAATTTACTGCAGCTCCTTCGGGCCTCAGTATGCTTCAAGTGGAGTACTAGACAGAGGGCTTAACAACATCTCAAGGCCCTTTTTGTGTGGTTGAAACGGTGGGGGTTGAAGGTTAGGTATTTCAGATTATGTAACTTTCTTTCCTTGTTCTTTCCAAACTCAGATCACACGTCCTTGCCATGGAAGGAAAGAACAACAAAAGTATGGGATAGCTTAACAGGGGAAGCCATGATGGGCACCGAGATGTTAACAGGTGTCATGAAGTCCTGGTCCGATCACCCAGAAATGTGCTGGTCAATAGGGCTTTGGTGAAGCTGGGTGAGGCAAGCTGATAAAAACACAAAAGGACTGAGGCTGCTCTGTTCTCCACAAGAAAAGACAGGGTTTCATTAAAGTAGACGAACATTTTGGATAAACCTTGTCATTTCCCTTTAGCAGTGGCTTCAGCTCATATATATATATACATATATATATATATATACAGTATATATATATATGACACTGTTGGTAGATATTCCTGGTAGATATTCCCAGATGATTGAACCTAATGATTTCAGTGACCCCATGTGAGCCTTTCCCTTCATTGTTCCCAAAAACCTGATAAACTGTGTGAGAAATATCGAGTCACGGACAAACAGATCTCTGTGTTGATTTGACATGGGGAGAAAAGTGCAGACTGTAGGAGGCTGACAATATTAAATATTAGTGAAAGTTATTAAACTGACCTGGAGTGAGGAGAGTCGGAGCCCCTGAGGTGATGGAGTCGAGGGGAGTCGATGCCCTTCAGGTAAGGTGAGCTGCCTCCTCGTTCCCGCTCTGCTTTGGCTTTCTGCAACTCCTGTCAATCACAACACACAGTTTTAGACTTTATCGCCTGAAGTTTCCTATGATACAACAGATCAATAAATGAATCGATAAGACTCATGGGTGAAGCAGTCAGACCTGCAGTCTCATCTCCTCCAGCAGCTCCTGAGCTCTCTGCATCCTCTGGGCGATGAGACTCTGCAGCTGACCGACTGGTTGCACTGAAGCCCCGCCCCCCGCCTCCTCTTCAGTCGGACAACGACGAAGGGCAGACCGCAACTCCGAACGAATCATCGCCGGTCTGAGGAAGGGGAGGAGTAAGAAAAGAGGAAGAAGGGTAAAGAAGACAGAGGGAGGAAAGAGACGGATGAGGATCAGTAAGAAGATTTTGAATTTTAAACTTAAAGCAAAAATAATCATGTTTTTTCTGCAGCATGGAGGTTCATTCTTGACTTTGGGAACATACAGTATATGGGATAACTTTGGGATAAGCACTTTGAACCATTACCTGAACATTTAGTTTCCATTCCTTCTTAATAATTACCAAACGTTCCATCAGGTTCTAGATTAATTTTCTTCTTTCCCTGCTGCCATTAATTTCAGTCTTTAAGATACTTGAAATCCATCTCACCCTCACTTTAGAAAAAAGACCGTGCTATACTTTAACGTCTTCACAGGTGGAGGTGCAGTGGATTTTCCGGGGCATGTCCAACTGGGAGGAGAACGTGGGGCAGTCCTGGAGGGATTAGATATCCCACCTGGTCTAGAAATCACACAGGATTTCCCAGAAGGAACAGGAAGACATGGATGGATGGATTAATCTATTCTACTGTCCCTTTTATATTTCTTTGTCAAAGTGAATCCCCCAAATGCACCTCTAGTGAGCTTTCAAAAGTCAAAAGCTGCAACTTTATTGTGTCAGGATTAAAATACAACCCTGACAAAACTCAAGGTTACTATATGTTGATGGGGATGGATGAGGTAGGTTTTTGATTCATGAATTTGTTCATATGAGGACCTTTCTTTGTTTGTTTTCATCTTCTCTTAGGTGTGAGTACCTGGAGGAGAGGACTTCATCCATGGAGGCACAGCGACTCCGACCCTGCATGCTGAACCTCTTCCCAGGCTGCGGTGTTCGAGACTGAGTCTGAAGGACCTGAAATGAAACGTTTTTTTAATTAATTCTGATTGAAATCATTTGTATTGAAGATTTGGAGTGAACTGTTTACACGGGATGTGATTTAAAGTGATCACGTGTTTACGTTTGCTGATGAATTTGATCAGAACAACTGTGGGGAAACGTAAGTCCTGGCACATTTACGTCAAGATGGAGGTCACGCACAGAAAGAACGCTGCCACACAGTAATCAGGTTAAATGGTTTACATGGTGCAATTTTCCTTTAGTTCAGTTTATGGAAAGGTTTAAACTACCCCTCTGCAACTGATTGAAAGTTCAATCGATTTGGACCTGTTTCTCCTTATTGAAGTGTTTATATGGAGCATTTTTTATTCTGTTTGAGCTTTTAAACAGATTATAATCAGATAATTGGACTCCATGTAAACATAACTGATGTTTTTTTGGTCTTAAATTGAGCACACGAAATGACACAGACTAGATTCAGGTTATAAAGCCATTAAAATCCTACAAGAAAACAGAATCTCATGCGTCTCTGCACCAAAACTGAACACAGACCTCAGTCAGAAATTGGCAATATGTATTTGTTTGAAATAGTCAAACAAAACATCAAATTTGGGCGAGTAAACCCAGACATTCCCCAACAAAGTACTGGATTTCAGAAGTGTGTTGGGTTTGGGAGCATTACACTGGTGAGCTAACGGTCAGTAAGGGATGATTTAGGCTTGTGCAGGTGTATGTTCTGTGTTGGTCAGTCTCAACCCTACATTAACTAATTGATTCATTCATGAAATCACCGTGTATGTTAACATAATGAGAAAAACAAGTACTGATCAGTGGAACAGAGTTTCCAGTGTGAGGATCAGAGTTTTACTTCACCCACCTGCTGGGTCTTGTGGACCTCCAGGTGGGACTGTTTGCCCCAGGAGCGCTCACTCCCCCTGGGCAAACTGCCAGTCTTCACCTTGGGCTCCTTGGAGACCACCCTGAGCTTTGAGACATCGGTGCCAGCCCGCTGACGTCCGCCAACGCCCCGAGATCCTACAACCGCCACCTGTCCACAGAAATCCCCCCTCTGCAGGTCGACCCGGAAGCTGTTCTCCCAGGATTCCTGAGAGTCGTCATCGTAGTCCAGGGAGAAACCGTCCTCCTCAGCAACCAGGTCGAGGGTCAGCGTGCCATGTGAGGAGGTGGACGCCTGCGATAGGTGATCAAAATGATATTAATGCTAAAAAAGGTTTTGATTAAGAAAGACAGAAAGAGAGAAAATGTTAAATGGGAGAAAGATCATAGGAGATCCCAGTACCACTGCCATGAGGTGTCCTCTGGTCGGCAGCCGGCGGCCATGAGGGATCTTTGCTCGGTCTCTGGTGGGATGTACCAGCGCACTGTCCTCCTCAATGGTCACCTGGACAGAAACATAGAAACTGACTATAGTGCCCTCTGTAATGTCAAATGAAAAATATATATTGTTTCATAAACTTGTGACTTCTAAATCAAATGTAGATCATTTATCAGTGGTTATTAAGAAGGTAGATTGAATCTTTATTATGGTCAGTAATTTGTAAGGTCACCTTCAACAAGGTGTTAAATTCTTAAATGAGGTGATTAAGGGTCATTGAAGTCTAAATGTCTACTGAAAGGCCACCATACCTCATCTAAAACTCTGTTCTTGGCTTTGATGATTGCCGCATTGAGGGCATTGACCCATGATTCCTTTTCCTCAGGACTCACCGCTAGAAACACCAGGTTGGGAACCTGCAAAAAGACAAAAACCTTTAATGGGTCTGCTACAATTAATTATACAGCACATGTCAGCTGTGGAGACTTTACCAGACAGACAAAGATAGACCAACAGAAATTCTCAAACAAATGGTGGCAGCCATCCATCAAGCAAAAGCAAAACCTTTGAACTGAAGCAAATCTGAGATTTTTTATTAATGTTAAGTGAGTTTCAAGCTGCCAGTATGATATCAAATCCAGACTCCTGTAAGATGTTATTCTTATAGCTGATATAAGTAAATTGATTTGATGATGGTAGTGTAACTCATTTACTGGGTTCGGTTGTTCTTCACTGGTGCTAATGTTCCAGGTTCATTGTTACACACTTAAAGTTATAGCATTGCTTTATTCTTTAGTGCAGCTTATGTAGATCATTTTGTGGAGCCACTTTATATTTAGTATAGCTAATGTGTTTTATTGTTACTAAAGTTATAAACTGTAGCTTCAGGTCCTCAGCAAAGCTAAATCGTTAGCTTTGTGTACTGCACAGTACACTGTGTACTGTATAGTACAACTAATATTTAGTGTAGCTAATGTTTACAGTTGCTGATGTAGCTCAGGTTCTTTAGAAGCACTAACATTTAGTGTTGGTAATGTTATTCACTGTATGTTCTTTAATATTACTAATGTTATTTAGTGAACTGTAATGTTCATCAGCAAACTTGTTCTTCAGTACATCTAATGTTATTGGTCTTAAATAATATTCTCAGTAGTTCGTAGTAAACCTTAATTCAGTCGAGTTAACTTTCCTTTTGTGACACATTAATATGTTTATACCTAAAACCTAAACAACTACAGAGTTTCCTAAATGTCAGTGAAGCTAACACTGAATAATTTTAATGTTTTTGAATAAAAGTGACTAGTGATTTTCAAATATACCAACTTGTGTTTAGAGAGACAGAGAGAGAGACATGGTCACTGACATTAAATCATAACAGCCAGACTTTTCCAAACAATGTAATGGGCTCTTTCAGATCCACTGTCTTCATATGTTTATCAGTGTGGGTACAAACCACCAGACTTTTTCTGATATGTACTTTGATTTCAGCCCTGTATGGCGGCTGTAACAAACTGCAGCAAACTGACATGTGAACATGTTTGGACTCTGCGGGGATTATTCTGCTGTAACTCGTCCTCTGACAGACTAATGGGATTCTGCGGATTAAATCTTTTCAGAGCAGAAAAAAACAACAGCTCAGCCAATCACTGCAGCTGAGTCACGGTGGGTGGGTGATGTTAAATCTGATGCACCAATCCTGAGAGGGATGTAGGAGGAAATCCACCAATGATGTGGCAATATGAGTCAGGGGGGTGCAGTGTAATCCCTGAGCATAGAGGACAGACACGGAGGATGAAGATGAATAAAGACAGAAACACTGAAAACTGAGAGGATGGGCTCAGAGTTTGGTCCTGTCACTGCTGAAACTACATAAAACATATTAAACAGCCATCATGGAAATTTGTTAATGTTTTATCTTTAACCATGAAATCAGCAGAGGGACAGTTTAGGCTGTGAAATCCTCCTCCTCCTGAACTTCAGATTTACAGTAGACTGGCTATTAAATGGAAATGAAGCATGACTGCATCACTCACCTCAAATCTTTTTATAACTCATTTCAGTTTAGTAGAAATTTGAGCATGTTTTTCTGCTTTTTAAATCAATAGTTTAAAGATTATTGTTTTGGGCTCAAACTGCTTCCATCCGCTCTGACATATAGCATCTTCATCTTCCACAAAGACTAATAATTCACTGCTGAGCTGTGCATAAAAAACACTTTAGGTTTAACTGCATAAAAAGGCTGAGAGTTATGGAGTCTGCTCTAGTTCTAAATAAATAACTTCATTTATAGAGTTAGAGTTATTGTTGAGTAATACTTGTACAGGTATATTTGGATACTAGGAGCCAGCTGTAGGTAAATAATATTTGTAAAATAGAAAAGAGAATATTAAGAATAAAAAGATTAAACATCAAACAGGAGCCATGTTAAATAATAACTAAGTCATTGACTCACAGTGTTTCCTGGCTGTCTGCAGCGAAGGACAGTGAAGCGACTGTGGTTCTTCTTGCTGCGACTCTTTGCTTTCCTCAGCTCCTCCGAACGCTCGTAATCCGCCAGGTCGAACACTTCCTGTGCTTTACGCTCGTCTTTCACCTGGAGACAGAAGAAAACACACACAGGTTTACTTCCATCACTCCCGAGCATTTATATTCAGGCCAACAACTCTCACATTAATAATACCTCAGGCAGTTATTTCGGGGTAACAAGACCAGGCCCCATCTAAATGACTGGGCAGAAAACCACAACTTCACTTTCAGTGGTCACTGGGACATAAAAACGTCTTGTGTCGACTCACCAGTCAAATAAAAACCACTTAAAAAGTTTGGTGACTTTGCCCCAAAATCAGGTTTAATGCAAAGGTTACGCAGAGCGAGGGGTGGATGAGGGGTTAGCAGTGGTCACTGAACAACATCCAAAGGTCTTGACAGGCTCCATAGGCCCTTAAGACGCTAGGGGTCCATGAATTGGTTCCAGGGGACGGCAGGAAGATTGAAATTGTCCTTGAGCAGGACTACTGACAAAGCCTGGAGCATCACTCCTGTTGCTATGGTTACCTGCAGTTAAGTATACGCCTGGAGGTTTGATTAACCTGAACTATAGAGAACAGGATTCTCTGTCGTCTTGGCAGGAAGAGAAAAGAAAAAGAACGATGTGATGACAGAGTGGGAAGCTGTCAATCATCCATGATCCAGTGACTGCGACTCTGAGGTCTGTTTGGTTTGACGTGATCGGGTTAAAGACAAGGTGAAGTCTGGAGCTGAACACACACATGACAATAATGTCAGCTCTGTCCTGCGACTCTGACCAACACAGAGGGACAGTCTGTGAGTCTGTCCACATGAGGACAGGTACATCAGCCTCCAGTAACACTACGACTGTGTCCAGAGTGTGTAAATGTTAAAGGGTGTCAGTGTGTAAATGTTTGTGACTCTGACAGTGTGGACGATTTTACATGAAAACTGTTTTAAAATGTAAAAAAACCACAGTTGACGGCTTCGTGTCGACAGTCAGAGACTGAGCTGAGACTCACAGATGCACTGACACATAAATAACTGTGTGTTGTCACACACTGTGTAACACCTGGGTCCACGTCCAACATCACCCGTGTTTCAGTCATCGACAACACGTAGACACAGGTCCAGTCTTTATCAGTGTGTAAAGACGTATTAAATGGTTTATTCATATTTAGAGGTTAATGTCAGGTGTTTCCATTTCTGTGGTTCTGGACAAAACAAGACATTTGACAACGTCACCTATGCTCAATAATGTTGTGAAGGATATGTTTTACTGTTTTCTGATTATTTCATCTTGAAAATAATTTTAAAAAAACATTAGTTCATCAGTTACTGTTGCTACACCTGTAAAACTAAACTGTAACATGTAATTTTTATTCTATGAAACAAGTCCTCACTTTCAAAGACAAGTACACAGAGGCATCATTTTTCTGATTAAGTAATTATCAGAAGAATAAATATTTCCCGAATAAAAAGAAAGAAATTTTAAGACGAATTTGTTTAAAAAATAACAACAACAGATAACAAGGTAGTAACAGATCTCAGAACAGATCACAAAAACCTGCACTGTCCCTTTAATCTGAACCTTTAAACAACGAAAGGTCAAAAACACACACACACACACACACACTTTTAAATGCAGATCAAACACATCCATCACTGTTTGTGCGTGTCCTTAAATCCATCTGGGCCACATCAGTGTGTGTTCACATCAACAAGGTCTCATGGGGTCAGTCAGTGTGTGTGTGTCACATGTAGAGGCTGGTGTTGAACATTCGTCAATATCAGTGTCAATACGATCAATACAGTGCCTTGTGTGAACTGATGTCGTCGTCATCAAACCTCTTTGACAGTCAAGTCTGAAAACAAACAGCAGCAGAAGAAGAAGAAGGGGATGATGAAGAAGAACGTGATGTGGACAAAGATGACGATGCATTAAAAGATGATTTCTCACATTCAGACTGAAGATACATTCCTGTTGGTCTCACAGAGTCTGAGTCAGTATTCAGTTAGTCACGTCACATGAGTGTTCAGAGTCACAATAACTTCACATTCACACAGATGACCTTCACACTGTGATCAACACACTCTGTTCATGAGAAGTAAATCATTTCATTTAATGATGCTGGAGTCCAGCGACAGATGAGAGTTGTATCATGATCTTTATTCTAGATGCACAATATTTTTTTCCTGCTGAACTCATTAATACACGCAAATATTTGTAATTTAGCCAATAAAACCACAGGATTACAGTTACATCACAGCGGCATCATGTGACGGTAGGTCCGTGAAACAAGGAAGTTTTTAAGATAACTGGCAGCGCAGGAGTCAGAGGAGACAATGTGACATGATGTGTTTATCATGATTGTTATGATCGTGCTCTGTATGACATATGCAACTGTACCAACCTGCAAAATTAATTTCAGTGTAAACTGCCAGTAAGGTCGTAACTTACCATACCGTATCCTACCATTTCGTATTGCACCGTATGTCATCGTATCATATGTTATCGTATCGTATGTTATCGTATCGTATGTTATCATATCGTATGTCATCGTATCGTATGTTATCGTATCGTATGTTATCGTATCGTATCGTATCATGCCGTACAGCACTGTAACGCATCGTGCTGTGTCACATCGTATCATATCGTACTGTGTCACCGTGTCATGTCCTATGGTTCCTGTCCTGTCATATAGTTTTGTTTCATGTCCTTTTGCATTGTGTCATGTCGTGTCATGTCATATCATGTCATGTCGTACCATGTCCTGTCCTGCCCTGTCGTTTTGTGCCATTTCGTATCATGTTGTAATGCCAGGGATCCACGAGCAACTGTTGAAAAAAGGCTTCTCCAACAGGTCAGTAATGACACTCAGAGAGGAGCTGAGCTGTCAAAATGAATCGTTCTCAACTTACAGCAGCAAAGTTATTAACTTTACAGAACAAAGGATGAAGTGAGTGTTTAATGTTGGTGCATGCAGGAATGATGTGAAAAAGAACAGATGGATTTAAAAACACACACACACACACACACACACACACACACACACACACACACACACACACACACCGTGAACCCTCCCTCAGGCTGCTGCTGTATTAAAATGTTCTGGGTCAACGTTTCTGCTGAACTACAGAAACAAGACGACTGATGATGAAAAAAATGTAATTACATACACACACACACACACACAGTTGTGGGTTAACATGAGTCATTATTCTGCTGCTCAGTTCACTTCAGTCAACAGAAGCAGAAACAACAGAAATAAAATCAGAAGAACTTAATGTTTCTCTGCTGCTGAAGGTAAAGCTCCTTTACATGAACCCTACAGACACACAAACAAACATGTCAAATTTTCATTGTCCCTTTGTGTTTGAAGTGTCAGCCGTTAAATATGTGTCTAAGCTCAAACTTTAAAACCTGGAATAAATCCATGTAGTTTGGTGCAGCCTTGTCATGTGTAAATATTATGAGATGTGGAAGCATTGTGGCTGCATTTACACTTTTATAAGAAGCTTTTGTTAATGAGATTTTATCAGCTGATTTGCTGTATTATAACACTTCCTTCAGTCTAGTGCAGTCACCTGTTTTATTCCTACAGACACCTGTTTCTAGAAAAGTCTTGAAGCAAAAAAACAGAGTGAAATATTCTTGCTGGCAGATTTTTTTAATTTGGCCTCACCCTGTTTAAGACAAGTTTTAGCACTCAAATGTAAACGAGGTACTTCATTAAAGGGGAGCTTCTTTACAGTGTGACATGTTGATGATAATAATCACTATAATAATCTGCAGATACTCAGGTTTGTACTAAACTCTGAGCTAAAGTCTTAGAATACAGAGGAGAAAGTGTCTGAGTCAGCATCACACAATCGTCAGTGAGTGTACACTTACATAACACACTGTTATATAATGTAGAACTGCAGAGTCAGTGTGAACACTCAGCACGACCTGCTGTACCTGTCCTCTGGGAGGCGTTCAGGGACTCAGCAACGATCTGAAATCAGTGAACTCTGATGTTCAGGAATCAAACCTAGAAGACGACGCAGTCTTCAAACACTGACAACATGAAAGCAAACCTCAGTCTCTGCTCTGAACGACATGAACGTAACTGACGATGAGCCCAAGAAGAACAGAGATGTTCTGTCCACACAGAATTCATCCCTCTCTCCTTTCTAACCTCATCCTTTCTTCTTTCCATCCTTCCTTCATGCCTTTGCCTTTCCTTCATCCTCGCTTCCTTGCTTCCTCTCTTAGTAAATAATCAGATTCATTTGTCTTCTGAGATCAGACAGCTATATCCAGTTCGACCAGTCAGCTTTTTGTGTGTGTGTGTGTGTGTGTGTGTGTGTCTGTGTGTGTGTGTGTGTGTGTGTGTGTGTCTGTGTGTGTGTGTGTGTGTGTGTGTGTGTCTGTGTGTGTGTGTGTGTGTGTGTGTGTGTCTGTGTGTGTGTGTGTGTGTGTGTGTGTGTCTGTGTGTGTGTGTGTGTGTGTGTGTGTGTCTGTGTGTGTGTGTGTGTGTGTGTGTGTGTCTGTGTGTGTGTGTGTGTGTGTGTGTGTGTCTGTGTGTGTGTGTGTGTGTGTGTGTGTGTATGTGTTTGTGTTTGTGCGTGTGTGTGTGTGTGTGTCTGAGGTCACAGAGAATCAAATAACCTCTCTCTCTCTGTCAACTCATCTCTCTGGTCTTTATAGGGACGTGAAGGTGACATCACAGGTCACATGATCACACAGGCTGACTGTGCTGTTCAGAAATGACTCGTCATTGTCAGAGGGAGGAAGCTTTCACTTCTTCTCTGATTCAACAGCATCACATTTACAGACTCAGAGAAGTGAAGCTCTGAATCTTAAAAGAGTTTCTATTTTTTTTCCTGTTATCAAACCAACAGTTTGTTAGAAACACAGACTCAGACCGCAGGGGGTTGAAAATCCCAACTAATCACACACACGAGGAGAAACCTCACAGATGTTCTTCTCTAATCTCGAACATGCTCACAGGGAGCAGCGCAGCACCTGACGCTGAGCTGAACTGTGCTGAGCCTGAGTCTCAGTACAAATCCTGGTTCTTACATATGATCCACACACACATCTTTTCTTTTCTTTGTGTTTTCAATCCAGGTCAAACAGACCTGAAGGTTCAGCTTTAGAGATTTCAGTCAGTTTCTTCTTCTTCTGCTCTGGCTTCCACCTGTGAACACGACAGCAACCTGCTCCTCAGTCCAGCACTGAGACCCACAACACGTAAAACCTGTCCCACACTAGATCCCAGTTTAATGTGATTTGTTCTGAATGTCTGGATCTGGAGGACACTTTCATAATGTTCCTACTCTTACAGCTGTTTTCACATGTGGCAGGTATCATGAACCGAGCAGGTGCTCCTGGTGCACAGGTAAACACTGACCCCTGTCAGGGACTGGACAAAGAGGCTCGCTGCTTCGTTCAGTTGATTTTAAACTGGCTGAACTGGTTTCAGATCAGTCCTGGATGAGGACTCACCTCCTTGTCAGAGATGAAGAGGTGGTCTCCTCTCAGCACCACATATCGGTTCCTCCACAGTTCTCTGAAGATCCCTCGACCGCAGAACTTCCTTATCCAGCCGACCTTCTCCGGCTGCTGGACCGCCGGCTGACCCGAGTCCTGAACGCCCTGAAACACACAACAACAGGGGTCAGAGAAGAACTGGAGAAACCATCAAAGACTCATGAAAACATCTGAGGAACCAGCAGATAAAACCAGAAGCCGCTCAACCATCCGAAACCCAGATGGTTTACAGTGAAGATAACGGCAGGAACCAGGATCAAGCCTGCGACTCTACAGCCACGAGTCAGAAGAACTCGTCCATCAGGACGTCTCAGTGAGAAAGGTCTGAAAATTCAGACTTCAGAGAAACCTGTCTGAGGAAAGAATCAAACTGCTGAGAGACGTTTGAGTTTCTGAAGGAAGAATGGAAGGAAGGAAGGAAGGAAGGAAGGAAGGAAGGAAGGAAGGAAGGACAGAAAGTCACAAACATGGAGATGGAGCAAACCTGAATGAGGAGAGAAACATCATCTCTGTTTGTTTTCTTCCTCAGTATCTGATCTAACAGAACAATCTCCACCTGGAGGGACTTCAGCTTCATTAAACTGGTTTCTGGTTCTGTTCAGACTCTCACAGATCCTGGTTCAGGTTCAAGATCCTGGTCTGGTTTAATACAGGAACCGTTCACAACCTGTTTATTTACATTGAACCTAAGCCACCATCTTCCACTAACCTGAACCTCAGACGGGACTCTGGATGTGAACCTGGTCTCTGCTGACTGTGACTTGAGAGGTGTCTGTGTCTGTCTGTCCTTCACTGTCTCTGCTGCTTGACATTAATCTTCACTGTGTCTGTCTCCACTGACCAGAGTCCCTGAAGTTCCCTGAATGAACCTTTCAGACATGTTGAGGATCATAAAGAGACGATGGAGCATGATGAGCATCACATGATCCAGTGTCTACACCATCACATTCATAACACGAGACAGAAGAATTTCAAGTTAAAGGGTCAGTTCACCCAAAATTACAGGCTCGTCCACAAACAGCCAATAACCTGACTTCCTCACAGAGTTAATCAGCCGACACATCCTCAGGTTAATGAAACTAAAACTATTTACTCTGAGGTTCAACCAAAGGATCCCGATTCATTTATCACATTTTATAATTTTATAACACAACTTAATATTTTACTCTTATTTCTATTTTCTCCTGATTGCTTTTCACATTAAAAGTTGAGCATGTTTGTATCATATGATGCAGCGTTAGGTAAAGAGTATATTAATGAGAAATGGTTCTTCAGGATTACGGGAGAGTTTACCCAGCCAGAATCAGGATCAGGGTTTTTGTGCTGACCGTGTTCAGCAGCAGGAGGGAGACTATGTACAGTTCAGGTCAGAACCTCGTATCTGACTCCAGATGTTTAAACAGTTATATACAGGAACATTATGTCAGAGTTAATGTGGAAACATGGAGACGAGTCAGAATCGGGTCGAAGAGCCAGATTTTAGATTTTAACCACAAACAGCAGAAATGAAATAAATTAATGAAATGTTACAGATGTTTTATAATGTCACATACTGTTATAAATGTGTTTTAATGATGAAGTGAAGAAAACGATGCAGATATAAATCAGTTTATTGATCATCTGATTCAGATGAAAGGACGCTGTGATCAATAATTCATCAGGAGGTTTTCATGGAGAATAAACCTGCGTGCAGGTTGTTCACACTGATCATGCACACGTGAATGTTGTGGGTTATGAGGTGGTGAATGTGTGACAGTGATGGAGCTGCTGATGGAGACAGATGCTGCGGCGCTGCTCCCTGAATAATAATCACATCATTATAGGGCCTGTACACGGCTCTGATGACTGGGTGATGAATGACTGATGATGAGGATGATGATGATGATGGAGATGATAGTGACAGAGGTGTGATGAAGACGTGAACGGATGTGAGAACAGAAGATAACCCGAGACCTACCCGTCTGCTCTGGGTGCTTTTCTTCATCCTCCTCCTCCTCTCTGGCCGCCGCTCGCTCCGCGGCTCCGGGGCTCTCAGGAGAATCACACCGACGGGGAGGAGCTGCAGCCCGGCCCCCGGTCGCTCGGTGCCCGTTGGTCGGTGTCCGCTTAGTCAGCGTCCGGTTCTTCTTCAGCTCCGCGGCTGTTGTCTGAACCGAGGCAGCATCCTCCCGGTGTGTGTGTGTGTGTGTGTGTGTATGTGTGAGTGAGTGAGTGAGTGTGTGTGTGTGAGTGTGTATGTGTGTGTGATGTGTGTGTGGAGGAAGATGCTCCCTCTCAAAACGCTCGTGAACGCGCCCTGACTCGCGGACGCGCACTGTAGCCTATATTCCGGTAAAGAAAAAGAGCCCGACAGCGCCATCTAGTGACACACACACACACACACACACACACACACACACACACACACACACACACACACACACACACACACACACTTTAAACAAAGAAAGTGTGATTCACTGATTCACAGATTTGTCGTTTTGGAATGAATGAAGTAAACGAGTTTAATTATTTCATTCAAGTGTATTATTTATTTATTTATTAATTATTACTGATTAAAGGTTATGTCTGATTATTGGTTATTTCTGATTATTGATTATTTCATTGATTAAATATCCTGCAGATATTTCCTGTAGGACAAAGAATGATGATGATGATGATGTTGACGATGACGAGGGTCAATTAAATATCATTAGATCATCAAAAAACAGGTATATTTATGTGAACTGCGGCTTTAAGAATCTAAACTGACACAATTTATCAGTGAATTTATCACCAACTGATGATGCCTGATCATTAGTGATTCATCGATTAATATTTTTGTTTTTTCAGTATAAAATGTTCACATTACCATTTCCAGTGCAAAACCTAAACATCCTGAATATCTGCAGTTCATGAGACCAAACATCAAACCCTCATGACCGACAAACAGGAAGTTTATGATAAAAAACAAAAACACTTAATCAATTACCAAAAATATTTACTTTTAAAATGTTTACTATTTAATTTTCTGTCAATCAATTAGTCAAATAATTATCCCAGCTCCAGATAAAGTTAACAACAATAAGATATTTTATTTGCACCTTTCATACAAATAATTTGTTTAAAAACATATTTATACTGTATATAACTAAAGAAAGAAATTAAAATTGTCAAATTAAAATTGTCAAACTAAATATTAAAACATAAAACATTAGAATCTGCAGCAATGAGTGGATTGATTGATTAGTTGATTGGCAGATAGTGGATCAGCAGTTATTCTGATAATGAATGAATCATGTTATTGAACAGTTGATGGCTGCAGCTTCTTGTTCATCTCATATTGAACTGAGGATTCTGGGTTTGGACAGACGTCAGTACAGACTTACTCTGATGATCAGATGATTGATCTAGTAAAAATAATCAGTAGACGAATCAATAATGAGGATTAATGTGAAGTTTATTCCACAGGTTTGTTCTGTGATGAGACAAATCAGCGTCTCAGACCCATTAAACTGTTAATTAAATGAACAGTTAATGAATTAAACCTGTTTCTGGTTTAAGGTGTTTAACAGACTCATCATGATCAGCAGCTGTTCCACCAGAGTCTGAACCACGTCCAGACCAGAGGTGAACCAGTACCTGGTCTGGACCTCACTGTCCACATGAGGTCATAAACCACCTCCTGAGGTTTGGATTGCTCAGACTGAGCAGGTAAATCTCTCCACCTGGCTGAGAGATCTGCACCTCATCTCTACTCACCTGGACAGATGTTTCCTCCAGCTGCAGGGGGGGTGTTAGCCTGTTAGCCTGTTAGCATGTGTCACACCAGCAGGAACGTGTCAGACTTGAGTCTGAGCTGATGAAACCCAGAGACCAGGACCTGCAGCTTTAAATGACCTCATGATGCTGATCTGTCAGGTTTCTGATTTATTGGTGTTTTGAAGTTAAAACATTCACAGACACTTTAAAGGGACATTCAATCAACAAACAAGAAAACAACAAGTCACTGAATGGTGGAGACAGATTTCACTGGTCGAACAAACTAAACTGAGCAGGTTCACTGGGTCCATGATGTCACTTCCTGTTTTCAGTGTCCACTTTATTAGGTACACCTGCACAGTCTGACACAGTCTCCTGTTCTGAAGCCTCTAACGTTCAGTTGTGTGTTTTATCACTGATGGTGTTGTAATGGACTGTGTTAGATCCAGAGGTGTTCCTAATATTCTGACCCATCACGTGAGTGTCTTTAAATAAAAACAAACATGGACACTAAATGTTGGGAATGTTGTTTTTTTATCCAACGAGCTCGTCAGGAGTCCGTTTATGTGTGTTCAGCGTCTGCTGCCATGACGACCACTTCCATGTGGTCTGTCGCCACCGTGTCCAGTTGTCAACGTTACTTCCTCCAGGAAACTGAGAGAGAGAGAGAGAGAAAGAGAGAGAGAGAGAAAATTAATCTGATAATCAATTAATCATTTGAGTCTTTTTCATTTTGTTTCAATCTTCTCAAATATGAAGATTTAATGCTTTTCTCTGTCACATCATAAAAAAGTGAATATTTTAGGATTTTACTTTTGGTTTCTGACCTGGGAAACTAACACTTTTCACTATTTACTGTCATTTTATAGACAAAAGTATTAATCAGATGATCCACAAAGTGTGTGTGTGTGTGTGTGTGTGTGTGTGTGTGTGTGTGTGTGTGTGTCACCTCTTAGTGTTGTGGATACTGCTTCCTCCCAGGACGATGCGGACTCCAGGTGTGCTGCGGTTCAGGTTGTAAACAGTCAGAGCTTCTTCATACGTGGCTCCACCAATCACAAAGACAATAATGTCCTGAGGCCTGAAACAAACACACACACACACAAACACACACACACACACACACACACACACACACACACACACACACACACACACACAGACACACAACTTAACGCTATAGGTCATGTTCGGCATCATCTCAACATGTAAGACTACTCATAATTATGAATAAAACGTGAGACATTCTATGGCTTTTAATTTGAAAAATTGCCACTGTTTATTGATCTATTGATTCTCTGATTTCCTGTCAAAAAATTATGTGCCTGTCATTTTCTCCATTGATCAGAAATTTATCTGATATTGATCACAACACTGATCACTGATCTTGTTACCTGTCTCTCAGTTGTGTGTTACCTGTCTCTCAGGTGTATGTTACCTGTCTCGGAGGCTGCTGGCTCCCAGGTATGGAAACTGACTGTCTTTGAGTCGACCTTTAATCAGCTGATCCAGAGTGTCATGAAGCAGAGGCTGATGCTGAGTGTACACGTTCTCCACACCCTGAAAACACACACACACACACACACACACACACACACACACACACACACACACACACACTTGATTACTGAATATTAAATATTTAATCTGAACACTTACAGAGAAAAAAAATTAATAAACAAGAAAAAATCTTAAAACTGCTGGAACAACTGGTTGTCAGGGTGTTTTGAGTGGTTGCTAGGGAGGATGAGGTGGTTACCCTGGTGACGGTAGTTGCTAAGGCATAATGTGTGTGCGTTTGTGTCTGTACCTTGAGTCCTTTGAAGAACTGTTTGGTGATTGCGACGGCGTCTGTCGGCGTGATGAGGTCACTTCCTCTGACTCTCTTCCCTCCATACTCCACCACAGACTGAACCATCTGAGAGAGGGGACACGTTTAGACTCTGTCCAGGCCACAGGACTCAGATACGTTCAGGGTCTTAAAACAGGTAACGGGTTCTAACGTTGGCTGATCAGGTCTACAGCTGTGAGTCAGGTGAACCATGTTAGTCTGGTTAGTTTGGCTAGTTTAGCTCAAACCGTCCAATCAGAGCTGAGTATTGTTAATGACATCATTACCCTGCGGTGTCGTTCAGACACTCCTCTCCTGCTCAGCTCGTCCATCAATGACGGCAGGATGCTGCTGCTGTGTCGCTCGTATCTCAGAGCGTACAGCATGACGAGGCGGACGGCGTCCAGCTCTGAGAGACGAGGGTTCTGCAGCAGACGACGTACACTCTGAACAACAGGAAACACAACAGACAGGGTCTCACTGAGGAGTCAGCTGCTGAGCTATGGCTCTGACTCAGAAGAAAGAACAAAAGGCAAAAGGTCCCGGAGCCGGCTGCAGGGGGCGGTAGAGAGACGTCCCCACCACTGGTCAGAGGTGCGTTAGGCAGAAATGACCAGCAGGTGGCGCACCTGTGATCACATCTACAGGAATTACATGCAGCTTTAATAAAATGTATGTTGGACCAGTGACTTGACTCGCTGTTGTTTCCACATGTAGTTTGACAAAAGAGACTTCCTTTTTGTCTTCATTACATACTTTTCATGAAAAGATAAAGCTGTGATGCTGCTATAGGTCAGTGAACTGTACAGGTGCATTCAGCCTGTTACCTGCTGGGCATTGGAGTGGTCGTTCTGACAGGCCAGCTCCTGCTCCACCTCCGAGACCTCCATCAGCTGACGCTCCGACACCAGCCGAGACAGCTCCCCCACCACTGTCACGTGTTTGGACACGGTGCCCGACATCTTTTTAAACTGAGGGTAGTTGTCTACAAAGGCCTGCAGAGGACAACCAGAGACGTCAGCCGCCCTGCTACAGCAGTTCCTGCTCTGTGCCTGTGTGCGTCTGAGGGTAAAGTGTTTTTGGATAAAACTAAAATATTCTGAAGAGAACATGTCAAAAATCTGCTAAATCTGATGATCTGTGGACCTGAACCAGAACCCCCTCAGACCCCTCAGCTGTGCAGACCTTCATGTCAGAGATGGACTCCAGCCTCTGTTGTCCTTTGGGTCTCTTCCTCTGGAAATCCTCCATCAGGTTCTTTATGTTGGTGCCGATCTCTCCAAAGTTCAGGTACAGGTTCTAGCACAGACACACACACACACATTAAATACTGTATCTGAGTATGTCCACAGGACACTTCCAACATCTGTAACCAAACCAGAGCCCTCACACACTGTCCACATACTTTTGGCCACATGTGTGATGTTGTGTAGTAATAATGTTCAGTGTTTTGTGTTGTGACCACCAGAATAATGTGAAGACCCTAACTGAGACCAGATCCTGATCCTGCCTGGAAACACTGATCCATCTGCAGCCTTTGATACTGACGTTTCATCACAGTAATGCTGGTGTATTTGCTCAGTGCGCTCCAGTCCCTGTTCCCTGATCTGAGACGCTGCTGATCCGTCATGTCATTGGTGTTTTTGTGTCTTCAGACTCACGTTGGCGTAGAACTCGTCGTTCTCCGCAGACAGGACCACTTCTCTCAGGTCTTTGTTGATCCCCGGGACCCTGGACAGGTCGATCCTGTTGTTGTTCAGACCCAGCAGCTCGTGGACCATGGCCTGGTAGGTCCACTACAGGACGGGACGACACAGCGTGAACAGAGAGACGTTTTATTGACAACACAGAAGATCACTGCATTCACCAAGAAAAAGAAAGCTTTCTCTCATAATTACAAAAAAAGATGTCATACTGTGTTACATAAGAGCAAAAAACTTTGTAATTACAAAATAATATTTTATTCATTATTTAGGATAAACACAAGAAGCTTGTGCTGTAAAAAACTGGACCAGACTCAGTGAATAACTCCCTAAGCCCTATGATAACTATTAATTCAGCTACACAGACTAATGAGCAGTGATAACTAACATGTCTTTGGGGTCATCAGGTGGGAACCTCCTTTCACCAGTGTTTCGTCTAGTTGGTCCCACGACACCTCCAGGAGGCTAGACAGTGATCACTGGCGTCCCAGAGTCACTCCCCTAATGCCAGCCATCACTGCTCCTCACACCACAACTATTTTCTCCTTTACCTTGCCTATGCTACCACACACAACATTATCAACTAGGACAAAACACACCAGCAGATTCAGCAAACAAACTCCCCTAACCAGTTGGAGAAAATGGCGGCGGAGGTAGAGTCAGGGAGAGGTGCCTGTTTGGGCTAGCTCTCCCCCGCCGGGTTAGGCTGTGCTCTACCTCCCCCTACTCCCCCACTCTCCAACAACTCACCTATGAATAATAATGAATAATATTATTCATAAAAAATAATCGTTATGAGCCCATGAACCATAGTGACACCACCAGGCCTCCGTAGCTCAGTGTATGTGACATCACCAGCTTTTAAAACATAACAACATAAAGTCTGAGGTCACTTCCTGTTGGAAACTCAATTTACACCAACAAAGAAGGAGAACAAAACGTCCCCTGAGTAAAAAACAGGAGGGAATAAAGTCGTTACTTTAAAACCTGATGATGTCGTGGTGCGGAGCGACGTGATTGGTCACCTGGTTGAGCAGAGGTGTGATGGCATCGTCGCTGCGGTCGAGGATCAGCAGCAGAGGAGGAACCTCGGTCTTCCTGAAGTCAAACAGCTCGTACTCCTTGGTGATGATTTGCTGATGACAGAGTGATGGAGGTGACAGGGTGAAACATTAATGTGGACAGCAGGGAGGCGGAGGAGGAGGTACTCTCTCCCTCTACTGCACAGTGAAAATACTACAGTGCTACACTGTCAAAATATTCCAATACTACACTGTCAAAATACTCCAATTAGGCACTTTTGAGCTCGTAAATTGATGTTCACAAATAATTTCAGAGTCTGAATTTGTAGACCCACATTTCTCCTGCAGATTTATTTTACAGGTTTAGAAACGTTGGTTTATTTGTGAATGTCACTTTTAAAAAGGTCAGAACCTTCGTGACCCTGATCTGAGCTTGTGTGTTACTGCCTCGTCACAAATGAGGCTTCAGGAAGTAGAAGGACTTGATGAAAAGATTTGAACACTGAACGATGAATCACATGTTCTGCATGAAAAACAAGACACAGACTGAAGCTGTTAAATAAATTCTCTGTTGCTAAATAAATGTGGAGCAGTAAACAGTACAATATTTGACCCTCAAGTGTAGTTAAACACTGTTAAACACTGAATTCATGTGTGATGAGAGTGCTGTTGCCATGGAAACCTTGACGCTCTCGGCCAGGCGCTTGGACATGTCCGAGGACAGCTGGTAGCGGATCATTGGACACTTCTTCAGAGCGAGGAGGACAGAGGTCAGACCCTGAGTGCAGCGAGACAACATGGAGGGCTCCCAGCTCCGGCCCTGAGAGACATGGAGAGACACACAGTTACTCTCTGCTCATCAGCCTACAATAAATAATCAATACTGACCCAGTGATAACATGTTTGTAGACTGATGGACTAACATGAGGTCTGACTACTCTGATGTGAGGAGTGTGGTGGACTGGTTAGACTTCACTGTGAGAGTGGACGAGCAGAGGAGATGAACCTGCTGCAGGTCGTGGAGGACCTCTCCGGGTTCAGACAGGTGAGTACAACAACAAACCCACACTGTCACACACTCACCGTGTTTCACACACAGTGAACTCGTCCACACAGAGTCACACTGAACAAACACAGAAAGGTCTGGGTTCTTACCCTGGCCACTCCATGTAAGTTGAGAGAGAACAGGTGAGGATTCACCGCGATGAAATCTCCATAAAACTCCTGCAGGCACACACACACACACACACACACACACACACACACACACACACACACACACACTTAAACTTTGTGTCTGAATGATGAACTGATGTTGAATTATCAATCAATCATTTGTTTGATCTTTAAACTCTTTGCTATAAAAAGCCAAAGTCATGACATCACTTCCTGCCTACCCACTGTCCCATTAGTGAGACTGAGTCTTTGTGAAACAATGAAGAAGAAAATCAGTTAAAGTCAAACAGTAATTACTGTGTGAGCTCAGAAGAACTACAACTCCCAGGAGGAGGTTAGAACTCAGGTGCTGATGTCATTGTTTCCAGCTGTAGTTTCTGAAGTTAAAACCTGATCAGTCGTTTACAGACACGTCTGAACTAACACCACCACCTCCTTTAGCCAGTCGCTCTATGAATGTTGCTGAGGAGAAGCTGAGGACTTTGTTAGAAACTGAACTTACAAACCAACAGAGTTTAACCTTCACTGAAGAGACTCAAACCAAATGATGAAACTGCAGTGTTACAGTTATTCACATTTTTAAAACAGCATTAATCATATTAACATGTTGTTAAGATCACATCATGGCGCTAATCTAACCACATTTGTTACACTCAGACTGTTTCACTCAGGTAGGACCTGAGACTCACCTGGACTTCAGCCACCACTTCCTGTTCATCAGCTTCAGCCAGAGCTTTGATCTCACTCTTACTGATGACATTACTGAAGTCTGAAACACACACACACACACACACACACACACACACACACACACACACACACACACACACAGTCAGACAAGGATTTAACATTAAAAAAACATTAACATTAGGAGATATTGGTCCTGTGTTGTCAGACTGGAGGTGGATTAACCTGAGACACATGTCTCTGCTGGGTTTTATGAACACGCTTGTGACGCTTTGAGCAGCACAAACCAAACTCTGCTCCATCAACAAGTGTCATGTCAACATTAACAGAATCAGCTGTGATCAGCTGCTGTTTGTAGTGTATCATGGACGTACAGTCAACTATCACTGGATCACTGCGATACCGAAGAAAGCTTAAAAACACGACGACTCTGAATGAAGTTCTGCAGCCTTTTCTCTCTAGTTTCTAATGATAATGATGATAATGATAATGATATCCTCAGAAAGTGAAGTTACACTGAACCAGATCAACATGTCTCCTCTGACGAGGATGACCAGGTTTGACAAAAAGAAACTTACAGATGAAGTAGACGCTGTACTTTGGTCTCCTCAGCTCTTGGATCAGATGTTCTACGTTCTCCTGCAGAAAACAAAATCTAGAGATTTAGTTACAGCTACAGTGGAGATTATAACGATCATCATGTATAATGTCATCACACAGAGGCAGTGGGATCAGGTCTCGTACCTTGGTGGGTCTGAGGAAGCAGATGGCCTTCAGGTGTTTCATGCTGTCTCTGTTCTGAGAGTCGATCCGCTCAAAGAGGTAAACCTCCTTCTGCAGGATCTCAGACTGAGTGTACACCACACTCACTATGCTGGTCTGTGACACACACACACACACACACACACACACACACACACACACACACACACACACACACACACACACACACTCGTTAAATACTATATCTGTGTATGTCAACACGACTCAAACATGTTCAGAGGTCTCATACGTTCTTTTTTCACTCATCAGGGGATTTGGAGAAGTTACACAGCAGATCCAGAGAGACATGAAACCATCCTGTGTGGACATGATTGCACCTGTTGGTTTGACCTATCTGACAGCAGCAGCAGCAGGTAAATCAGCAATACAACCCTGACCTGATTGAAGACAGAGGCTCTCTCATGTTTATTTAAACGCAGATCCTAGTGTAGTCAGCAAGCACAGGTCATCAACCTAGTCCACCTCCACCACATCAACAAGAGCCAGATGTTTGTAACTTTTACAGACCTCAACACCAGCTCTAGACTTCATTCTCCACCAAAGTGAAAGAGAAATTGTTGTACGTAAAGTTTCAATCTGAGCTTTTACACTTTCACACAAGACTGACCATCAGCTACACCAGGTCCTGCTATACTGAACTCTAGTCCTGCCTAGCTAAAGTAATGATTCTTAGTCATGTTAACATTATTATCCAGGTCCCTTAGTACCAATCAATCATGGTTTGAATGCCACAGTCTATCTGAGTGTTGTTGCAGACCATGTGAATCCCTTTATTGCCACAGTTTACCATCTTCCAATGGCTACTTCCAGCAGGATAATGCAAATTTGTCTCAAACTCGCGTAATGAACATGACAGTAAGTTCAGTGAACTTCAGTGGCCTCCCCAGTCTCCAGACCTGAATCCAGCAGAACAACCTTGGGATGTGGTTAAACAGCAGATTGGCAGCCTGAATGTGCAGCTGATAACAGTCTCAGAGGAAAGTTACGATATCTAGCGGATCCATAACACGAAGAGCTGAGGCTGTTTGAAAGCAAAGGAGGAACTACCCAATGTTAGTGTGGTGTTCCTAATAAAGTGATCGGTGCGGACATTTAAACAAAGAAAACTACATTATTAACCACTCAACACACAACAACACATCCGGACCAGGACTTTGCACTGAGTCAATACTGTACATCCAGAACAGAGCAGTCTGACTGGGACCAGAACAGGACTGTGAATATCACTTAGATTTTCACTGTGTCTACGGGCTGTACAGAACCAGGACGAGCAGACGGTCCTGGTCCCGGTGTCTCACCGTCTCTCTGTCCATCAGCAGCACCTTCATCCCGGGCCCGCTGCTCTCCACCATCTTAGAGATGTACTGCTTCACCGCGAGCGTCACGTTCATGGTGGCGACAACACAACAACTAAGTACCGAGAAGAAGCAGCTGTGTTACCGTCCGGTACCGTCCTTTACCGTGTGAGAGTCTGTGTTTCACGGTCCAGGACAAAAATCAGCTGAGCTGCGACAACAACAAGCTGCAGGAGGGTTTCCGGGTCCGTCACGGCATTACGTCACACGCACGGGACCTGTGTCAATACGTAGTAAGCGTTTTTTGTTTAGTTTTTTTTTTTTTTTTTTTTTTACAGTTTATAAAGTATAAGCCAAATGTAGCCTACAGACATATAGAAAAGTACTCTTTAAACAGTGCAATAGCTTCTGAAAAATCCACCACATTTATATCAATGAGGGGAGGCTGAATAACAGAACTACCTCCACAATGATCACACAGGTGAATCAACACCTGTGAAACAGATCTAGTAAAAAACTGAACACCATAACCTTCAAGAAGGAGGATTTATTACAGGGCTTTTGACCGGAGTCAGACTCAGTTTAGCTGGTATTCCTAATAAACTGGACAGTGTATCAGAGGCAACCTTTTATACACATTCTACAGATTAATGTTACACGAATGTCTCTTATTTTATCAGCTGTGTGTTATGATCTGTATGTAAAATTTGTATTAATCTGGAACTACAAACTATAGCTGTCATATAAACCATTATCTTTCTTATTAAATGATTTTTCACTTGGGACATGGTTAGGTTAACACAAAGCTAGCCAGAGTAGCTAACTAGCATCACTGTGAAGAGTTTACACCAGCAATAGATAACATATGTTCATGGGCTAAAACAGCACTATTATAGTTGGATGTTTTAGTTCAACTGTTTCCTATTGGGACTTTAGCCACGTTAATTTATCAACAGCAACTTCCATGAGGTGATCGCAGCTAACATTAGCCTGTTTGACCGCTTAGTCTGCAACCAGAACACTGAGCAGGCACTGGCTGCGGAACCGGACGGTGTTAGCTTTTACTTTCTCTTTAACTGTTTAAGTTATCTTGTAAACATCTGAACTTCATATTATTAAAGTCGGATCAGTTTGTGTGGAGGGGGCGGCGAGTTTAGTGTTGTGTCGGCTGTGTCACGTTAGCATGCTAATCACTCTTAGCACGCACATGTTAAGTTCGGTTCACCCCGAGAATAAACACTATTGATGGTAGCTGTATTCAGGTGAAGTCATACATTTTACAGGTACAAGTCAGATGTCGACATGTGCAAATTTTAAATAATTTTATTTTAAAACTTAGTGAAGGCGTCTGCAGCGCCACCATAGGCAAATATCCCTCCGCCTCTATCCAGCACCGTCTCTTCACAGGAGGCGGGGACGGTGCGGAAAGACACAGTAGTAGTGCCGTCCTCAGTCCACGCTGAGCAGCTAACAGCTCCTGTCTGTGGAGATCACTAATTCACTCATTATTTTTTACAAAGAATTCATTTTAAGCTGGAATTTTTACGGAATAAGTTTTTATTTGACATTTAAAGGCTTCGGATAAGGTAAGCGAGCGCTTGCGTCACTTTTTGTGCGGTTATCCTGCAGAGTTATTGAAGTCACAGAGTTAGCTGCTAGGCTAGCCTGTTAGCATTCATAGCTGAATGTTAAATTGGCTGAGGAGGAGGGGGGTTTGAGGGGAGTCCGTGCAGCCCAGCACCACTGCAGTGAAATACAACACTTCCAGTTTTTAGTGTGATGTTTGGCTCAGTGGTGTAGAGTCAGTGTCAAGTGTACAATCAGTTAAGTTATGTAGTTAATGCTAACACTCTTAGCCTGTTTGTGCATTTATTGGCATGTTAGCTGAGTTTGCTAATCGATTGAGCTAACTCTTTGATAGTTTGATCAGTCCTCAGTCAATTCTCAGGTTAATAATCCAATGAAGACAACTTTTAAACACACAAGGTAACAACTGGTATTTTATTTTGATCTTACTTGAGTCAAAACTGACACAGAAAGCTTACAAAGTTTCACAGATTTCCAGATAGCATGACTAACTGTGAGCTAACAGTCATTAAGGCAAAAGTGAAGTTTATCCACAAAATAATGATATGTAAAATGTGGCTATATATTATGGTTGGTTATATTTATTGATGAGTTATATGTTGTCTGTTAATGATGTTACATTGTTATATCAAACAATAATAAAGCTGTAATTACAGTTATAGTTACAGCCATAAATGTGATATGAATGTCAGTAAATTCATGGATTTGGAAAATAATTCTAGGTTCTATCATCCTGACTGGTTTTTACTTTATGGTATTGATATAAAGTCTGGTGTAATGGAGAAACCAGTATCACAGTCACGTCCTGTACTGTAAAGTTGTTTTTAACATTTAAACCTCAGAGAACATTGCAGAAACTCTGATTAATCTGTTTATGTAAAATCCAAAACCGATACATTAAATAAACCCTTCTATACAGTGATAACATGTCATATGTGAACCTGTGCTGACTCTGATGGTGATCTAAGAGAGCACACAATGATGTGTTCACACCAGGTGTGCCCCCTCTGGTAATGATGGAGGTGGAGCAGGCAGCAGGTGGGGGTGCTGACCTGCTGATGGAATGTGAAGAAGAGGAGCAGGAGATTTGGCCTCCGTCACCAGAGGCAGATGAAGAGGAGGAGGATGCAGGTGAAGAGTTACAACAGAGTGTCCGTAGGTCTAGAAACATTCACTTTCCTTAAAAAACAAGGCATTGCCTGTAACCTGCTGTTGACAGTAACATAATATTTAAAATGTTTTGTGATTTTTGTGCTGGAAAATCTCCAGGAACATTGTTCCAGACCTCTGATGTAAAATACATATGTGGACCTTTAGTAAATAGATTATTTTTAATTGGTTAATCCATCCATCCATTAGTGTAATGATTAATTAATGATAATATTTGGAAGTATTGTCATATAAAGCTATGATATAAATATCATAATTTCATGCTCTTGGTAAATAACTCCAGGCGTTATCATCCCAAATGGTTTTCATTGATATCTTTCAGACTTTGAAACACATATTAAATTACATTATGTGTGGTATTATAAGTCATTGTGAACCTGCAGAAACCCTGTAACACAAATATGCAGGATCAGGTGTTTCAGGTGTTCTCAGATCAGTCTCTGTCCTGTGACTGACATTTCCCATCTATAAGTTGCTGCTACTACTGACACCAAAACTGAACTCATTAGTACCTTTGTTTCTTAAGACTAAAATCGCCTTAACATAAACTAAGTTAAAATAAGTATAAAATCAAGATGATGGTTTAAATGAGGGAAAATCTGATCAGAGCTGAAGTGAACCAGACTTTGATATGATTCTGTCTCTTCAGGTCTGGAGGCTTCGATCAGCCCGATGGAGGAGGAGACGGACCCCCCACCAGTCAGGATCATTCCCATCCCAGTCCAACCAGTGAGCAGTTGCAGCCCTTCTACAGCCAAGCATACAGTGAAGGTATCGGGATCCTCCTGACAGCTTTGATCTGAGGGTTTCAGGTGTGCGGTGTTTCCTGAGATAGTGGGCGGGGCTTTTATTTACCTGAACTGCTTAAGATAACAGGTCCAGTCATATTTTAGTTTTTTATTTTAGTTTTGATTCGCTCCTTGTCCTGTAACAGTTTCAATCTTAAAGCCATTTCAGTGGACAGAAACCCTTCATTTCTTAACTGAGCTTTTATTTTGAAATATTTGCAGGCAGCTGGATTAAAGTATGACAAAGCAAAGTGGATCAGAGTGAATGAATCTAATGCCTCCATTGTGTTAGTCTGAACACTGTAAAACAGCACAGGAATATTCTCTGAAAACAAATTGTTTAACAGTAGATAACCATGTGAATCCACACCTAACATCAAGTGGCAGAAATATACATTAGACTGAAGTGGCTGCACATTATATAACAGGAACCAGGAATTTATCCACCCTTGTTTTTCCCTGGCCTTTATATGTTTGTTTTGACCATGCCCCCGCCATTATCAAAGCCCTCACTTTTAACTGACTCCTGGTTTTTATTTGAGTTCAGTCTGTGTTCTGATTGGATTTAATTCTTACTGTGTGTTTGTGCGTGTGTGCGTGTTCATTCAGTCCTCAGGTGGTCCTCTGGGCTTCATGGTGAATGGTCGAGTGGTGCCATTGCTGCCTGGAGGTCAGTACACTTCAGTTTGTTCAGGGTTAAACAGCTTTCTAAGGTACTCCTTATAAAACTGAGTTGATCAGGACCAGATCAGGTCCTGATCAGCTGATCCTAAGAGCTTACAACTCACATTACTGAAACTAGAGCTGTAATGATTAGTTGATCAATTAACTAGTCGATAGTCAGAATCTGACTCTGCAGCTATTTTGATAATTGAATAATTGTCTTTTGTCTGATGTTTTTTGTGTAGAGCTTGTGGGTGTGATGTTTTGATGTTTTTTTCTGTTACTGACACTAAACTGAATCTCTGGGTTTTAAACTTAGGATCTGATGAAACAAAACATCTGGGTGGGTTCAGTGAATCAGGGTGAAGGTCTATGTGAATTCATTGTGATCTCCATGTTGATACTGCAGATGTAGGTGTGGAGCTGAAGCTTCGCTCGCACCCCAAAGGTTCAACCAGCGGGTTCACTACAGTTCAGATCCCTGTCACTGTGACAGTCCACAGTCCTACAGGTACTCGCCACATCAACACCACCACCTCTCTCACCACCACCAACACCTCATCTCATCCTCCTGCTGCTGCTCCACCTGAGCCTGAACCTGAACCTGAACCTGAGGCTGGCCCCACCCCCATCATCACAGGTACACACCCCCACCAGTCTGATGTAGTTGAAAGAAGACCAGATTGTTTTTTTTAACCTCAGAGTGTCTGTGTGGTCTAGGTGTGGTCTCAGGTGAAGCAGCCCAGAAGGTTTTGAGTGACCACAATGTGAACTTCAAATCCAGCCTGCCTCTAATGGACCTGAAGACCCAGCCCTCTGCCCCTGCTCCACCCACCCAGCCCCTCACTTCACCACGCACCAAATCCCCAGCATCACAGAGGAAGAAGGGCCCCCCCAGCAGCAGCAGACCTGTAGCTCCTCTCAAGCTGCTTCGCAAAGGTTTGACTCGTGTGACTAAAGCTGGAGACATGTCTCTGTATCTGTCTGTCTCATTCATATAAACTGTGTTTTTCACAACCAGAGCTCCTCTGTTAAA